AATGAGTACGAGATGTTGACAATGTATACATGTTACCTAAGGCTGAACACAATCAGTAAATTTACCAAGGTACATATAAAAAGCTATACTGAATACCCTCTAACATGATACTACATTCTGAAACGCATAGAACGCTACTGTTCTATGTATTCTTAACCACCAATAGCAAGCAATTTCTTAGCTTTGAAAATCTTAGGAACAAAATCTTATTTTCTATTCATATGTTAACGTAACAATCAATCGTATTGAATGTAAGGTTGAAGTTGACTTTCGTTCTATCTACGCAAGTAGTTTGGTGATAAACTCCGATGAGAATAACACAAATGAGTCAGTTTATCAATAGGAACACAAGCGAAATGTTGAGTCATTTGGCAAGTGGTTCCTAGTGGAGCATAGAGCTTTAGTAGCACATTGCCATTTAACCCCTGCTCTGCAGCCTTTTGAACCTGGCTCCACGACTGCCCATGAGCTTTCATTTCTTCCTCACATGATCTCCATGTCACCCCCGCCTCAGACGCCCAGCTTGTCCTTTCCCGTTTCAGTTTTACTCCAGCATCTGGCCTGGCAATTCATATCCCCAGACGGTCTTCTCAATGATTGTGAGGCAATCCATCTCCGCTTTCTTCTGCAAAATTTCTTGGGCGATAGGTTGGCTCGTTGCCAGGCCGCAGTTCCTTGTTGCTTATTCTTACTATTATGGCCATCTCATCCGATCTTCAGTATCGAGTGATCGTAGACGGAAGCTGCTCATGTATATCTGTAGTTTGTTGGAAAAGCCCAGAACGTATAGATAATGTCTAGGCGAGTGATAGACTAATCATCTGTGAGGAGCTTATTAAGTGAGCTGCGAGAGACATAATGAAACTGCAGTGCGTATTTTCTCAGGAAGTTTATTCCAGATGTCAGTGAACTTATTGTGGAAGACGTTTCCACGCAATTTCGTCTTACGACACTCATTTTCAGTTAATAGATTGTGATTACGTAAATTGTGAGTAGATGTTTCAACTATTTTAATTTCCGGGCCACATGAGTGCACTTGCTTACGAAGTAATATATAATAAAATATAAGATTCATTCTAAATCGCCTCTTTCAGAGAGGTTCCAGTCCCAGTATGTTGCATCTGGAGATGTAGTCCAGACTACAGTCAGCTTCTAGTGTTCCTAATGTAAGATGGCATGATACCCCTTCGATTTTTCCTTTGTCGCATATAGAAGGCCACTTAGATTAAACAGATAGTAGTCTCACTTTGAAAAGGCCTTTGACAGCGTCGACCGAGAACTAACTTGGCAGGCAGCTGCTTCAACACTACGGAATTACTCAAACCTTTATCAATCTCATTCAACAACTATATGAAGACGCCACATGCCAAGTAATTCACAATGGGAAGCTCAGTGATGCCTTTGAAGTGAAGACAGGGAGGAGTAAGACAAGGCTGCCTACTATAACCCATGATCTTCCTGATTGTGGTGGACTGGATCACGCAGTGAACAGTGAAAAGCGAGGACAGTGGGATACGCTGGACCGATGGAAAGACAAGGATCCTAGAATATTTGGATTTCGCCGATGACTTGTGTCTAATATCGCACAAACCCGAAGATCTACAGGCAAAATCCAACAAGTTGACAGAAGAGGCAGGGCAGCGAAGACGGGGCTTCAAGCGAACGTAGAGAAGACAGAGGTGATGATGATACCCAACCAACAACAACAAGCCCCAATCACCATCAACGGGAGAAACTTTAAGGGAGTAGCCTCTTTCACCTATCTAGGCAGCATCGTTTCAACTACAGGTGGCTGCACAGACGAGGACGTCAAAACCAGGATCGGAAAAGTAAGACAGGCGTTCATCAACCTGAAACCAGTATGAGATCTTCTGCACTCAGCACAAAGCGTGAACAATATCCGAATTTTCAACAACAACGTCAAGTCAGTGCTTCTGTATGGCTCGGAGACTTGGCGCGTTATGAAAGGGATTTCCAACGAACTACGGACATTCATCAACAGCTTCTGCCTACGCTGGCTCGATACTGAAGCTCAGATGGCCAGAATAATAAGAATACGCATCAAGGAACTCTGGCCAGCAACGAACCAACCAAGAACCTATGGCACAACGAATATGCAGGAGTCGAAAGTGGAGATGGATTGGGCATGCACTGAAGTAGACCATTCGAAGACATCACGCGCCACGCCATGCCGTCGAGTGGAACCCAGATGGGAAGCGACGAATTGGGTTTCCGAGGTGAGGATGACATGGAGATCATATGAGGAAGAAATGGGAGCTTCTGGGCTGTCTTGGAGCCAATTTCAAAAGATTGCAGAGAAGAGAGTGAAATGGAGACGTGCTACTGAAGCCCTATGTTCCATTAGGAACTCAAGGGACAAATAAGATAATAATATTAGTCTCAAATTGGACGGTATTATAAAAGTATTATAAAACTTCGGGACGATGCATCTAAAGAGTCTACGTGACTTAGATGTGATACAAGCTGTTTGTTCGGAGAATGTTAAGTTGCTGGAATATCTATGGCCAAAATCTTGCACTGAAGAAAGTCTAGGTAGCTTTTGTCCACATACTTCGAAAGACATATCTAGATTATCGCTGCCTATGCTAAGCTAATCACGTTTATCAGTGTTGAACCTAAGATGGAACTCGTCACACCATTAAGCAACTTAACCTAATTCTTGTTGAGCAGTAGATAGCGTATTGCTTAGTCCAAGGGTGTGATGTGAGTATACAACCTTAAGGTCATCAGTGTATAGGAATGTTTCCCCCACAGTGAAGCACTTGCACACACTATCAATATAAGTTATGAACAACAAAGGTCCAAGGATACTAACTTGTATTACTCCACTAGTTATGAGCCTAGGTGTAGACTGCATAGAGTTTACTTTGACTACGATCACTAAGAAATGGTTTTAGCCAATGAAGTAAAGGGTTATGAATGCCAATCGATTGTAGCTTATCAGAGAGTATATTGTGTGTTACCTTGTCAAATACCTTTGACATATCAAAGTATAGAACCAGGACGATTTTACGTGCCTCGCAGCTGCTACTGATAAGGTTGAAGAAGTCGAAGTGGCAAGCAATCCAAGACCTGTTTTTACTGAAACCATGCTGAGGGTTTCTAATGAGGTTTTCTGTAAGTAGGTAGTCAGAGATACAGCTCTCAATCACTTTTTCTATAATTCGAGAGACGACTGGCGTTATGTTAATAAGCCTGTAGTTATTAGGATTCGCTTTGTCACCGGACTTGTAGCGAGGAAGTATAAAGCTGGTTTTCGACTGGCTAGGATACTCCCCACTTTCCATTGATAGTGTGAATATCTTAAGCAAGAACAGCGGCATATCATCATTATTTCTGATGATTATTGAGTTCAGACTACCTGTCGCAGTACCTGTCGACAGTCTCAGGCTTTTGATGCTTTCGACAGTGAACTCCACTCTAGTACATGAAGTATTAGTAACTGGAGTAAAACTTGTGGGGTTAAAAGTATTATGGTTGAAATTAGCGAATGATTCGCTAACCAGTTCACTCATCTTGAAGAGATCCTTGTATACTATTCTATTGTGTGGTAAATAGGCTAAATTTTTTGATGGTTGCAAACGTTTACTCAGAAGAGACGTCAACTTGTGTCTTCTACAACCACTTTTGAAAGGAACGATCTCTTCGTATACTGCGTAGTGTTTCAATGGATTCGTAAATCTCATAAATTGAGTGCAGTGACATGAAGTCTTTCGACGAGTGGTATTGCAATAACAATTGTCTGTTACCAATTTGGCATTCATGTTGCCCATTGGAATTTTGATGTCGCCATCTGGAGTCTTATCTAGTACTGATTGCAGTTGTCTGTAGAATTCCTCCTTCTTCTCTTCATCTACATTATTTGTAGGTGCACAGCGTATCATTGAATGTTTGCGACTTTCCTTTCTTCATTTGGAGTTGAATCTTGCTGTCATGATCCTGATAGTGGAGGAGATTGGTTGCCACTGCATGAGAGTGAGTCTTTGATGCTGTTGGAAACATCATGATAGCCACTTGTCTGGGTGACAACAGTGGAGTAGATTATTGACTCTCCAGTTGACAGTTTGGAGAGTCCACTTCCATTCCATCAGCTTTCGCAGATTCCAAGCACTTCCATGCCATACTCTCTCATTTCTTTTCAATTTTGGCAGCTAGGTAGGTTCATACATGGTGTGGACATTCCATGTCCCCATCCTTACTTTCGCTGTCATCGAGGGAGAGAAGACACATCGGCCAACATGCTTGCCAAAGGCTTTCACCAACCACCATCATTCCGTCTCTCCGACTCCAGCGAGGAATCGTTTTATTTTTCTATATTCCTTGTGCTTTGAAGTTTCTGTAGTGGTGGGATTGGTTTTCCGGGGTAAGGTCGCTAGCCCCTGACTGGCTTTGACATCCTCTTCTGTGCCACCTGTAGTTGAAAAGATGCTGCTTAGATAGGTGAAAGAGACAACTTCCTTTAGGTTTCTCTCGTTGATGGTGATTAGAGCTTGTTGGTGGTGGTGGTCGCGTTGGTTGGGTATCATCATCACCTCTGTATCATCTACACTCACTTGATATCCCGTCTTCCCTCGCTGTCCTGCCTCTTCTGTCAACTTGTTGGATTTCGCCTGTAGATCTTCGGGTTTGTGTGACGTTAGAAACAAGTCATCGGCGAAATCCAAATCTAGGATTTTTCCCCCGTTCAGCGTATCCCCCTCTTCTCGCTCCTCACAGCTGTTTGTTGCATGATCCACTCTACCACAATCAGGAATAAGTCTGTTTTTATTTTTTATATTTTGTCTATGCTTTGAAGTTTCTGTAGCGGTTGGATTGGTTTGACGGAGTAGGGTTGCTAGCCCTTTGCTCAACCTTCACTCTTTATCCGCGCTTAGGACCGACTAGTAACTAGTTAACCAGGCGAGGTTGAAACTTAGATAGCTAGCCTAAAAACGTCATATCAGTCAGATGATTCATACTATTGGAAAGGATCTTCCAAACAAGGTCCAAAAGTTTATTTCATTATTCGTTCTTATATACTACACCATAGGACTATACAAATAGATATACACCTCATACAACGAATATTTTATTTCATTGAAAAAACAGTAGAACACAGAAATGGTAACTAAGAATGACAAAACATGTTTATCATTAAACATACATAATACAATAGAAAACCTTTTTCTCATAACAAACAACTAGAAATCTAAGAATTCAATCTTTGATGTATAGCATTATAGATCATTGGTTTGGATATTGGGATAAATTGATGCGTGATTAACTTGATAACTTCTTGAGCTACAACTCCACCCATAAATGCAACTACTGAATGCAATTCTCCACCACCAAATCGACATATTTCCTGTAATATGTTAAAAAAACAATGTTTAGTTAATACTAAGATATAAAATATGCTTTATTTAGCATTGTTGCTAAATATGCTACTTATAGGAAAGCGTATAAATAGTATATGCCATGATGTAGCTTGAAGAAGAAATGGCAGTTGACAGGTGTGTTTACTGATCACTTTAAAAAGCTGTTGAATCGATCAACACCTGCACTTCGTCCAGAAATACCAACTGCAGCCCGGACACAGAACTACGGTGAACGCAAGCCGTTCGACGAAAGTCAAAGGCCTGAACGACTGGAACATGCTGGCTAGCTGGCCGGATTCAGGAAGTACAAATCATGTGCGGGTCAAATTGCAACGCCACGCTACGCATCATCATAGAACATAGCATAGACTGGCAGTCAACCCTCTACCTCAACTTTATCGACTTTGAAAAGGCCTTCAACAGCGTTGACCGAGAAGTAATCTGGCAGGTAGCTGCTTCAACACTACAGAATACCACAAACCTTTATCAATGTCATTCAGCAGCTAAATGAAGACGCCACATGTCAAATAATTCACAATGGGAAGCTCAGTGATGCTTTTCAAGTGAAGACAGGAAGGAGTAAGACAAGGCTGCCGTCTACTATCCACCGATGATCTTCCTGATTGTGGTCGACTGGATCATGCAACAAAACAGTAAGGAGCGAGAAGAGGGGGATACGCTGAAACGGGCAAAATAGCCTAGATGATTCGGATTTCGCCTCGATAATGATTTATGTCTAATGTCCTGTCACACAAATTCGAAGATCTACAGCCAAAAACTAACAAGTTGACAGAAGAGGCAGGGCAGCAAGGGAAGACGAGATATTAAGTGAACGTAGAGAATACAGAGGTGATGAAGATACCCAACCAACACCCCCACCACCACCAACAAGCTCTAATCACCTTCAACGAGAGAAACCTAAAGGAAGTTGTCGCTTTCTCCCATCTAGGCAGCATCGTTTCAACTACAAGCAGCACAGACGAGGATGTCAAAGCCAGCCACGATCGGAAAAGCAAGACAGGCGTTCATTAACCTGAAACCAGTGTGGAGATCTTCTGCACTCAGCACGAAGAACAAGACCTGGATTTTCAACACTAATGCCAGTCAAGTCAGTGCTTCCATGTAATGATTCAGAGACTTGGCGTGTCACGAAAAGCATTTCCAAGAAACTACAGATATTCACCAACAACTGCCTACCCTTGCTCGATAATAATAATAATAATAAGCAACAAGGAATTCTGGCTGGTCGACAATGAACCAACAAAGCAAGAACCTATCGCTCAACCAATATGCAGTGGAAGAAAGTGGAGATGGATTGGGCATACACTGAGAACATTCGGGGACATCACGAGCCAGGTCTGATGCTTGAGTGGCACCCATATGAGATGCGACGAGTTGGGTGTCCCAGTTGAGAGTGACATGGAGGAGATCATGTGAGGAAGAAATGAGAGCTTGTGGGCTGTTGTGGATCCAAGTTCAAAAGATTGCAGAGAATAGAGCGTAATTTAGGCATGCTACTGAATCCTTATGTTCCACTAGGAGCCCAAGGGAAAAATAATAATAAGTAGGTGTGTAGATGTAGAAGAGTATGAGTCACACTTAACATGCATATGATACAACTGTTTGACTAAGCCGGAGTAGGTGGAGTGGTCCTCAATCTCAGGAGCTATTGCTTGAAAGCCAAGTCCTTAGAGGAGGAGGGAGGTACAAGCTATATCAAAGCATAGAGCCATCCACTAGCCTATAAGTCAACCTTTATATGTGAAGAGTCATGGTATCCCTTGGATTCCTAAAAATAGCATATTCAATGCAGATAGATAATAATGAGATCATATTAGCTCTGAAGTTATAAGCATCTCAGCGAGAGAAAAACAACCGCCACTTTAACATCAGCATAATCTATTTTAGCATTCTTAGTCAACTAAAAGTTAAATTTATTGAGTCTCGATTCTACAAGACATACAATCAATTCGAAAACCTTTTTTTCACGATAGAAATCCAAAACAATGAAGTTCATAGGGTGGAAACAGTCAATCATTTTACCCTCAAACTATCCAACATTTAACTGAACGAAGGTGTAATTTGCCAACTAACTTGCATCTCATCATTTATGTCATCATACGACCATTTATGTCGAAGAGTATGCGACAAAATTTGGATTGAGATAAGAAAAGTTGACAGTTTATGACATGGCGTGACCATGTTTTAGTCTGTCCGCCTCTCATCTTCCCCCGAAGTTGAAGTCATTTCAGATAACACCCAACTATGCGATACACAATGACTAAGGATGTGTGATAATAGATGTCCCAGGCTTACCTTGTCGATTGACTTTCCTCTCCCCCCCCCCTAAATCTCTAGACTCCGACTTTTGCATTACTGACATCACCAGCGTTGATGGTCGAATTCTTGAAGCCTTCTTATGTCACTCAACTTTAATAACCAAGTTTTATAGCAACATGGTAGAACCGAGTGAAATGTATTGCAGTACATACTCGAACCTTAATAGGCAATCGAATGTTACGACAGCGCTATAAATGACGTTTCTGTTCCCGAGATTTCCTAGGTTATTGTGCCTGTAAGCTTGATCTAAGTTCCACTTCACTCTCTTTTATTAATCAAACTGTTAGTGAAAACCAGTCAAGGACCAACAACTTTGCATGTGAGTAGCAAAAAACGTATCCAAAATATTTTCAAATTACGACTGAAGGTGTTTAAAAGGCTACATCTTGTCAGCAATCGCACTTTAACAGATCATTTGCGTATTCTACATCAATCAAGGATTCTTCTGTGACAAATCCATTGCCTGTGAAATTGAACGACAAAAAAGTACATCTGTGATAAATCTAAGTGAAAATGGAGAGAGTGAGCACCCTTGATGTACACAAGTCACCTGATAACTTACTCAACGCTCTAACACGTCCATAAATGTTCTAGTACAGAGCCTTCAGTAGAGTAGTGTAATGAACAATATTTGTAGGTCAGGTGCATGGTCTTGGTTGTATTATGTTCTCTCAACTGGGTTGATGCAACAAACAAAGAAGACAAACTGAATATCATTTACAAAATCAACTGGAATAACTGTAGTCAACACTACATTGGACAAAGTGGTCTCACACCTTCGCCTTCGTCTATATGAGCACCAATTGGCTATTAAACACCACGACATTTCGTCACTCATTTCAATACACGAGAATAACTATGGAAATGAATTCAATTTGGACGATACAGAAATCTTGGACGGAGAAAGGAAACACAAAGAGAATTCCTAGAAGCCTGGCATTCACCTCAGTCAGTCAGCAATCAATAGATGTATAGACATAGATCCAATCTATCAACCAATAAGAAAAATGATAAACGACAGAAAGGTGAGAGGTGAAGCAGAGGAACAGCCAAAAGGAAAGTCTATACAATCAATGATACAACAATCAAAGGAAACAACCAATCATAGACCACATTGTCAGAGGAAGTCACTAAATCACTCATGGAGAGATATTGACAGCTCACTTCATACTGAAGTTAGTGCTGATGATGTCGGTGACGATGAAAGCTTCACGATTAAACAACAACCCAGCTCAGAGAACACAATACAACCAAGATAGAGTAGTGTACTCACTCCACACCTCTTGGAATGAGAGACACTTAAAAAAGGAGTTTAAACGCTGGGAAGTGTGCCTGTGTTTTAGACCAGTTCTGAAATGTGTCTGGTTCTCTCAAGTTTTCTTTTTTTAAGAATCGTTCAGGCGTCTAATAATCATAGAGGCTAGAATCTTAGATACTATGTTAGTTTGACTTCTCCTATGATTTTCACAGCAAGATTTCTCTCCCCTCTTCAATCAAGGAACAATTACCAATAAAGAATAGCTATTGACGATCATATTTCATTCCTTTACGATGCATCGATTAGTTCAAAAGGAGATGGTTAGATCCTTTTGCCCTTTTTAACAACTCTGAGATACAGTTACGGTCTTCAACGCTGTTTTCACAATAGACTACAGATTTTGTTCTATGTCGATAACCATCTTAGACTTGGTATTAATTGACCTACTACTTTCATTTTCGAGGTGCGCTTGAAATGGTATTGTTACTGCAGTTTTTCTATATCTACTAAACTGCAGGAACGCATACTAGAAACGAATGATCGATGTGCTTCAGAAGGGACGAAGATATTACACTGACACTCTCCAGCGATACCTAATAGCGATAAGGTCTGTGTCCATCACTGAGTTGAAGTCGGTGGACACCACATTAGACATAACTAAAGTCCATGTTGGGTAAAAATAGATTGTTTAATTATGCATTTGATAGGGAATAGCAACACAATCTAACACTTACTGGAGTACAGATATGTAACAAAGAAGATGAAATACACATTATGAATTCATTTGTTAACTAGGATTCTAAACATCTAAATCATAAGGGATTCATTATAAAAATCTATTAAGATTAGTTGTATATAATGGTGTTGATTGTAACTGATAAAATATGGTAAAAATGGAAATTAACATTTTAAGTCATCAGCCGATAAAATAGAGGCTATTGGCTTTCAGTATTTATTTCATATCACTGTGTGGTCAGGAAAAAACCTGATTGGAAAATTTTATCCTACTGTTGACCAATCAGAACACAGATACAACTTTTGACCTAGTGATTTTATACATTCATGAACTGTTTAAAAATGATGTATATATATATATATATATATATATATATATATATATATATATATATATATATATATATATATATATATATATATAGTAAAACAAACAATGTGAGGGAAGAAATATTTCTTTTCAATTAGTTCCTCATCAATGGCTCTACACTAATATATGTAGCATTTTCAAACGTAAAATTACATACCAATCTAGTGGTGAGAGTTGTTCAGTGAAAGGTTATCAATCTCAAAGTTTCAAGAAGGTGATAATTGGTCAGGTAATTAAGACAGTTAACTAAAGCAAAGATTAATTATCGTAGAAAGATTTTGTGAACAGGTTCTTACATAATTGATATTTTATATAATGATAACTAAAGAGCAAAAATGAACTGTTACGTAAAATGGTAAATTGTTGACGGTAATTAGAGACAGTAGGGGGAGAGAAAGATGATTAAGTCTCTGATAATAATAATAATAATGGAGCTATTGAAATATTAGTTATAGTGAATTGTGTGGTGGATGAAATGAAGAGTCTTGTTGTAATAAATGAGCTATACAGATGGCCAAGGCAAAGAAAGAGGCTGTACGAATCTCTTCTGAACACACAGACTTGGCTTGTGTAGGTGGATTCCTATGGCTTCTGCTGTATGTAAAAGACGGACTCGTAGAGGATGGGTGAGGTGAGAAGGAATGTGATAAATAACTTTAAAGGCATTATGAATGTTAACTCGGTGGCCGGTGTCAATCAGATGAGAGAGTATTGAGCTTCGTGTCAGTCTGGTTTCCCCCTTACTTAGCCATGAAGGATGATGCTCGGCGATTCGACGACGGACTTGCCTAACTGTACGTCCAATGTAACTAGCTCCACAGGAGCAGTTGAACTGGTAAATGCACATAGAAGAGGAGAAGTCAGGGAGTCTGTCTTTAGTTCGTGTGGTCATCATCGGCCGGCTGTAGAAAACACAACATAACTTGGCGGCATTAAATGATCTTCTTATGGCATTTCTTAAGCGTTGTGTCACAATTTCGCTGATGATGTCACCTCGAAATTGTAGTCTTAGAAACAATGGTTTCTTGGAGACTGTAGGCATTCTGGTTTTCATATTGGATGTGTTCATATTTTTAGCCAGGAACGTTTCTGGATATCCATTCATGGCTAAGTAAGGGGGAAACCAGACTGACACGAAGCTCAATACTCTGTCATCTGATTGACACCGGCCACCGAGTTAACATTCATAATGCCTTTAAAGTTATTTATCATATTCCTTCTCACCTCACCCATCCTCTACGAGTCCGTCTTTTACATACAGCAGAAGCCATAGGAATCCACCTACACAAGCCAAGTCTGTGTGTTCAGAAGAGATTCGTACAGCCTCTTTCTTTGCCTTGGCCATCTGTGTAGCTCATTTATTACAACAAAACTCTTCATTTCACCCACCACACAATTCACTATAACTAGTATTTCAATAGCCCCATTATTATTATTATTATTATTATTATTATTATTATTATTATTATTATTATTAATACAGACTTAATCATCTTTCTCTCCCCCTACTGTCTCTAATTACCGTCAACAATTTACCATTTTACGTAACAGTCCATTTTTGCTCTTTAGTTATCATTATATAAAATATCAATTATGTAAGAACCTGTTCACAAAATCTTTCTACGATAATTAATTTTTGCTTTAGTTAACTGTCTTAATTACCTGACCAATTATCACCTTCTTGAAACTTTGAGATTGATAACCTTTCACTGAACAACTCTCACCACTAGATTGGTATGTAATTTTAGGTTTGAAAATGCTACATATATTAGTGTAGAGCCATTCATTGATGAGGAACTAATTGAAAAGAAATATTTCTTCGCTCACATTGTTTGTTTTACTAAATGTCTAAATGGGAATTTTTGCATATATATAGTAGTATTCATCATGAACTGACATCAGTTGGGGAACCTTTGAAAATCTGGGAGCACTGGACAGCTGTTTCGTCCTAGCACGAGACTCCTCAGCAGTACACACCCACAACCCGGCTACGGATCGAACTAGAGACCTTCAGGTTTCACGGCGAACGCGTTAAACATCCAGACACTGGGTCGGTTTCCAGTGGTTCAGCATCCAGTTCACTTCCGACTGGTTGACCCCACAGGTCATATATATATATATATATATATAATCGAATAAAATGCCTTCTTCACGGTCACAAATCGGTTTTTGTCTTCTGATTTTTACGGCTCAGTGAAGTAAGTACAAGGCTATGAAGGAGGATAATCACCATTTATATCCAGTGCATGTATCTCATCGTTTTACCATCGTTCGTGTATTATTATGCCGATTAAGTCAATAAATTAATTCAATTTCGGTTAGGTTTAAATGATTGGATTGTATCAGGTTTGTATTGGTAGTTAACTTCTAAACAGTAAGCTATAAGTTCGAACCCCACCTTTAAGTGATATTCATAGGCCTTAATAATCAATATGTACAAAGTTTTCATTTCAGCAATAGACTCGATGGTATCAGGAAACTCTTCAAATATGCATTTTCCCTTCGAGGTTACACACATACATACACACGTCTCTGATTATCTCAGATCGCCATTTTTTAGGTGATCATATTGTACTTCGAGATCAACACTTTTCAATTAGCAATGAAACATATGGGATAACAATCCCCCCAGGTATACTTAATCAAAGAGACAATTAAGTTAGTCTTCATTACCTCTAAGTAGTCTGTACTAACACGATTCGAAGCAATTCCAAATGATTGTAGAACACGATTTAAATGAATTCGTAATCTAGGCAGATCAGATTGAATTATATTCATATTAGATGAATATGAATAATCTTCGGATGTATATGACTGTTCTGTAGATGTTAAAACATTTGCAGAATAATTATGAATCATTTTACATTTTGTAATATATGGTTGTAAACAACCAGGCCATCGTCCATTCTCCATTAAGAAACTGTTAGCCCCACGAAGAACTAAATACCATAGCATAGCATCATTCTCTTCATGAGTTGGGAGTAATGCTAATAAATAAATAAAAATATTGGAAAATATAGAGAAACATTTTTTTTTAACAATTATGCAAAAGAATAAAAGTGAGAAAGTTAACATATCATTTCAATGAAGTTCCAGTCCCACTGGGATCCAAGTACACTCAGTCTTAAATAAAACGTCGAAACACGCGTTAAACTGAACTCCTCTGTTAGCTGCAACCAAGTCAATCATAGCAATAAATAATCAGGTTAGCCTAGTGGATAACGAACCCTTTGGCGGTCTGGAGTGATAGATACGAGGTTCGAGTTTGAGTAGGGTGCAGGTACACCTAGCTGGATTCTTAGGCTAGTCATAATCAAGTAAGTAGTATATGTACATCAGTAGTCTACAGAATAAGTTTCCAGTATTCGCGATGATAGTACAATGTCAACGCCTACTAGCACACAGGTATAATATATATTCAACAGAGCGTTAGTGAATAGAATGAATTACAAAATTAGTATTTTCTTCTGCTAATCATAATCAAAATGACTAGTGATCTGGAGTTATAGTTAACAAGCTTTTCAACGTCATCATAAACATGATTGTTAATTACTTTCTTAATCGTTATCGTTTACCATATGGGATGTTTGTTCCCTTTTTCCCACTTTTTATCTTCAGTTTTATGCTACTTACTATTTTTAAGTAGTATAGTTTATGTTTCTTTATAATTTCGTTTCAACCTCCGCTTTAACTGTTCATTCCGTTCCATCGTATCTTGTTCACCATTTAACATCCATAAATATCAGTATCTTGTAATTTCTTTCTCTCTTCTCTGATTTTCCATTTTACCTTGAACATTTGTTTATCTTGCATCTTTACCTCATCATGAGAAGTGATGCGCGTACTTCATATTCCATTCTGGTTCCTTGGACACAGCCTTGGCGTTTTTTTAAAAACTGTTGACGCACTCTTCACTAGTGATTTGAAAACGATTCGAGGTCCGTATTGTAGTACTTAATATTTTTTTTATATTCTAGACCGTTTCTGTATTTAGTGTTATTGCTTGTATTACACCGTCGTTGATCGGACCGAATTGATCAGTATCTATTGGTATATGGGCTCCTGTGCGGAAGCCTCGTTATTGCCTGTGTTTTAATTATGTATAGGGATGATGGGCAGTGGCTAGAAGTGGAACCTAGGATGCGGATTTCGTCCTATTTGGGACTCACTGGTCAGCTGGATGTACCTGTCTTCCAGTGAGTGGTTGTTCCCACCGGGACTCAGGAGCGATCGCTTCAAACGCCAGAGCGTTGTCCACTGCACCACCGAGTCACAAGTCGCACAGAAGTGGCTATTGTGGCTCGGTGGTGTAGTGGATAACGCTCTGGCGTTTGAAGCGATCGCTCCCGAGTCCTCGTGGGAACAACATCACTCACTGGGAGGCAGGTACATCCAGATGGATTGGGCATACACTGAGAAGGTCGATTGCGGACATCACGCTCCAGGCCATGCCATCGAGTGGAATCCAAAAGGCAAACGACGAGTTGGTCGTCCGAGGCGAGGGTGACATGGACGAGGTCGTGTGAGGAAGAAATGAAAATTTGTGGGGAGTTATCGCGCCAGGTTCAAAAAACTACAGAGAACAGAGTGAAACGTCTATGTGCTGCTGAATCCCTATGTTGATTCTTATGGTTATGTCACCTCATATTTTTTTTGTCTTTATTGGTAGTAAAATTTTCAATATCTCTGGTATAGTTTTTGAGTCATTTGTATTACATGCGTTGGGTGGGTGTTGATTCGATGAACAAAGATTCAGTAATCAATCTCTCACAATCTTCATCTAATTACATCGAACTTAAGTACAGCGGTTTTATCCTACCCATCCTACTGTGTGGTTATGTGTGCATATGCACGTACTGCAATAGCCGAGTCTCTTTCTACATTACTGATCTTATTGAGGTATGTCATCATACATTTAGATAAATTCCTATGTTCCGTTAGTCTAACTGACTCCGACCAGATAGTTTCATCTATGTACTTGACCTGACTAACAGTCATTATATAGAATTTGATAGATTCGATTATTTTGCTGAATTAGTTCTATCGGATCCTTAAACCAGACGACAAAGCTTATCGCTGAGTGAATTTTTAGGTTTAAATGCCAGCCCTGGTAATTCCAGCTTTGTTGGGGATCCTATGTACAGTTTCTGATATACCTTCCTTAAAGGGGAACAACATAATGGAGGCTGTGAACTCCTTTGTACTCGCGTTGTCGTTATTATTCGTGCTAGTGTGACTGTCATTTTTCCCTTTCTCAATAAATGTTTAGGTTCTTACACTGACTAGTCACTTTTCTAGCTCTATCACTTAGACATTTGACTAAACCTCCCTTAACTGACATTAGATGAGATAACTTGAAGTCTAGATATCTGCCAGAATGTGTCGGTTTCCTGTAGACGGTAGTATTTAAACAACCGTCTGTCCTTCCTTTCATCCCGCAATCCAACATAGAAAATTCCTCTTAGTTCATCTTCTACCTCCTCTTTAGTGACAACTGGATAGCGCAAACTACTGAGTTTATATGCATGAGGAAATTGTCGATATGTTCCGATTTCAACACAGTAGGTGTGTCATCCACATATTACCACTATATTTTAAGTGCAGGACTAAACATTTGTAAAGCCATGTTTTCCTAACTATTCATAAGTACTACCTGTTTCGATTGGAGAAATTGGCGATCCCATTACTACTCCTTCTGTTTGTCTGTATATTTTGTCCTGAAATTTGAAGACTGTGGGAGTCAGGCACAATTGTATGCCTAATTTGATCTCATCAACCGATATCTTGGTTCTGTTATAAACAGTAAAAATCAACATGAAAAAAAAAGATATATATTGCCATGTGAATTAGAAGACAATTCTAAGGTGGTATTCATCAAGAAACAACATTGGTTGTAGAACCAATGAGAAGCTGGAAGTACTAGCTAGCCTTTTCATCCAGATATGTGACTCCTCAACAGCACGTGCCTATGCCTCTACGAAAGGCTGAAAACGAGACTTTCAGCTCATCCAGTGGCTATGTTAACATTGCATCAGCCACTGATGTAAGTCATGCATCTGTAAACAAATGACTCACATTTTCACAATGCACTAGGATTTAAAAGAATGATATACCTCATTTTATATATGGGCAATGGGATAATCCATGACCCACTTAACGGGCGGTTACTTCCAGGAACATAAGTCGTATGGAAATGAATAAAGTATTGATAATAATCTCTTCAATCAACCAATAAAATTAGAGGAAAGTATCCTTTATATTATATGATCACTCCTGTTCATCTGCAGTTCATATTTCTCCTTTTTTTGTCAGGTATGATGCAGTAGGTGCGCAGGGAAATTTAATTTTAAATTATTACATGAATAGCGGAATTAATTAGTCACTGAAACGTAACCAACTTTATGTTATCATTAGTATTTGTCCCTTGGGTTCCTAGTGGAACATAAGGTTTCGGAAGCACGTCTCCATTCCACTCTGTTCTCTACAGTCTTTTCAACCTGGATACACGACTGCCTATAAGCTTTCATTTCTTCTTCACACCATCTCCTCCATGTCACCCGCGGACACCCAACTCGTCATTTTGTATTTTGCTTCTACTTGACGGCTTAGCTTGACTCTTCATGTCACCAAATCGTCTTCTCAGTGTATGCCCAATCCAAACCATTTCCACCTTCTGCTTCTGTATATTTGTTAGGTGATCGGTCGATTGGTTGCCAGAGTGAGTTCCTTGTTGTTTATTCTCATTATTCTAGCCATGTGATCTACAGTATCGAGTGAGCATAGGCAACAGCTGTTCATGCATGACTGCAGTTTGTTGGAAATGTTTTTTCGTAATGCGCCAAGTCTCTCAAACACCACATAGAAGCACTGACTTAATGTTGAAAATCAGGATCTTGTTCTTCATGCTGAGTGCAGTGCAGTGCAATAGATGTCTACACTGATTTCAGATTAATGCAGGAAAACCTGTCTTGCTGTCTTTTCGATCCTGGCTGGCTTTGACATCCTCATCTGTGTCTGTGCAACCGCCTGTAGTTGAAACGATGCTGTCTAGGTAGGTAGGTAGGTGAAAGAGACAACTTCCTTTACATTTCTCCCATTCATGGTGATTGATGCTTGTTGTTGTTGGTTGCGTATCTTCATCACCTCTGTCTTTGCTACCCTCAGATGAAGTCCCGTCTTCCTGCCTGTTTTGCCAACCTGTTAGTTCTCGCCTGTACATCTTCGAGTTTGTGAAACATAAATCACCATCGGTGAAATCCAAATTTTCTAGGGTTTTTTCATCGGTCAAACTGAGTATCACCATCTTCTCCCTCCTCACAATTTCTTGCATGATCCAGTCCGGCGATAGTAGGCGGCAACCTTATCTTACTCCTGGTTGCCTTCACTTCAAAGTCATCATTGAGCTTTCAGTTGTGAATCAGTTGGCATGTAGCCTAATTATATAGCACATCTCCATTCCACTCTGTCCTCTGAAATCTTTTGAACCCGACTCCACGACAGCCTACAAGCTTCCATTTCTTCCTCACACCATCTCCTTCATGTCACCCTCAACTGGGACACCCAACTCGTCGTTTCCCAACTGGGTTCCACTCGACGACGTCGCCTGGAGCGTGATGTCCCCAGTCCACCTTCTTAGTGTATGCCCAATCCCTTTCCACTCTCGATTCCTGAATATTTGTTGAGTGATAGGTTCTTGCTTTGTTGGTTCGTTCCTAGCCACAGTGAGTTTCTTGTTGCTTATTCTTATTATTCTGGCTATCTGATTTTCAGTAACGAGTGAGCGTAGGCAGCTGTAGATGATCTATGTCTGTAGTTTGTTGAAAATGTTTTTCGTGACACGCCAAGTCTCTCAACTATCACATGGAAGCACTGACTTGACTGGCATTAGTGTTGAAAATCCGGATCTTGTTCACACTTTATGCTGAGTGCAGATTACCTCCACATTGGTTTCAGGTTAATGAACGCCTGTCTCCGACGTCCTCATCTCTGTCGCCTGTAGTTTAAACGATGCTGCCCTGCCTAGGTAAGTGAAAGAGACAACTTCCTTTAGGTTTCTCCAGTTGATGATGATTAATGCTTGTTGTTGGTGGTGGTCGCGTTGGTTGGGTATCTTCATCACCTCTGTCTTCTCTTCATTCACTTGAAGTTCCATCTTTGCTGTCCTGCCTATTCTGTCAACTTGTTAGTTTTCGCGTGTTAATCTTCGAGTTTGTGAGACACGACATTAGACATAAATCATTATCGTTGGCGAAATCCAAATCTTCTGGGCTCTTTTCATCGGTCAAACAGCGTATGCCCATCTTCTTGCTCCTCACGGTTTGCTGCATGCTCCACTCGATCACAATCAGGAAGATCATGGGTTATAGTAGGCAGCCTTGTCTTACTCCTCCTTGTCTTCACTTCAAAGGCATCACTGAGCTTCCCATTGTGAATTACTTGGCATGTGGCGTCTTCATTTAGCTGTTGAATGACATTGATAAAGGTTTGTGGTATTCTGTAGTGTTGAAGCAGCTGCTAGCCAGATTACTTCTCAGTCGACGCTATTGAAGGCCTTTTCAAAGTCGATAAAGTTGAGGTAGAGGGTTGACTGTCATTCTATGCTCTGTTCTATGATGATGCGTAGTGTGGCGTTGCAATTTGATCCGCACATGATTTGTTCTTCCTGAATCCAACCAGCTTGTTCCGGTTGTAGTTTTGAATGCATAGCAGTTTTTAGTATCTCCAGGATGATGCGGCTGAATATTTCATTTGGTGTGGACAGGTTTAATTATCTTCACAAGTATATATAACACTCAAAACAAAATTAAGCTGATGGATAAGAGACAGAATAAGGAGAGAATAATATGAATTATAAACTTACTAAGATCATCTGAACGTGCCGGTGACAATTTCATTTCTTCTTCTAATGACCGACAACGGACAATATCTAAGAAGCTGGCATTTCGAACTGAAAATAAAAAGGTATACATAGAGGTGAATGTATTGATATGGCAGGAATTCGCATCTGATCCCGTAGAATAAATCTGTAATCTAGAGCACACTTATCCTACTTTACACAAGATATAAGTAAGACATCTTAGTTGCAACGGTCAATCAGAGAGCCTTGTGATGCTCAATCTTCTAGCTTGGTAATCACTGATCACTAAATAAGATTAACCAGATAGTTCACAGTAATCAATAATATAGCTTGGATATTGACCAATAAGACAGCAGCGACAACTATATGAAGACACCACATGCCAAGTAATTCACAACGGGAAGCTCAGTGATGCTTTTCAGGTGAAGACAGCAGTAAAACAAGGCTGTCTACTATCACCAATCATCTTGATTGTGGTCGACTGGATCATGCAACAAAACAGTGAGGAGCGAGAAGAGAGGGATACGCTGAAACGGGCAAAAGAGCCTAGATGATTTGGATTTCGCTCGATAATGATTTATGTCTAATGTCCTGTCACACAAACTCGAAGATCTACAGCCAAAAACTAACAAGTTGACAGAAGAGGCAGGGCAGCGAGGGAAGACGAGATATCAAGTGAACGTATAGAATACAGAGGTGATGGAGATACCCAACCAACCCCCCACCCCCCAAACAACAACAACAACAAGCTCCAATCATCATCAACTGGAGAAACCTAAAGAAAGTAGCCTCTTTCACTTATCTAGGCAGCATCGTTTCAACTACAGGCGGCACAGACGAGGACGCCAAAGTCAGGATCGAAAAAGTAAGACAGGCACTCAGCTCAGCTCAGTGTGAACAAGATCCGGATTTTCAACACTAATGCCAGTCAAGTCAGTACTTCCATACGGTTCAGAAACTTGGCGTGTCACAAAAGGCATTTCCAACAAACTGCAGACATCCATCAACAGCTGCTGCCTACACTGGCTCGATACTGAATATCAGATGGCCAGAATAATAAGAATAAGCAACAAGGAACTCTGGCTGGCTGGCAACGAACCAACGAAGCAAGAACCAATCGCTCAACAAATATGCAGAAGGAGGTGGAGATGGATTGAGCATATGCTGAGAAGACCGACTGAGGATATCACGTGCCAGGCTAGGCCTTCGAGTGGAACCCATGTAAGAAACGACGAGGATGATATGGAGGAGATTGTGTGAGGAAGAAATGAGAGCTTGTGTGCTGTCGTGGAGCCATGTTCAAACGTTTTCAGAGAATAGAGTGCACTGGAGACGTGCTACTGAAGCCCTATGTTTTATTACGGAGCCCAAGGGACAAATAATAAAAATGTGTGATGTTTATTCACTGCGTTTATATCGTTCAACAGTAGGCTGGAAACATGTTTTCGTCTTTATCCAATATAGTCAAACCCAGGCCAGTAACCATTTTATCACGATCATCATTAAAATCAACATAGGACTGACTAGGCATTACTGTGTAACTATCCAACTAGCCAGACGTCATCTCATATCAGAACATCGAATAGCAAGGCAACAGAATGGAAGATGAATAGGGAAACTAAACGAGAGAAGGAAGGAATGAGAAAATGATGAGGATAATGTGTGCATACATCTGCCCCACTGACATCGGTTCTGAGCCTTATCGCCCAGAATCTCCAACCACTCACTTGTTTCTCTTGTCTCATGGACCCCAACCGACTAGTTTGTATCGCTCCCTGTATAGCTCAAACCGAAAGTCAACCATTTTATACATTGATAACATGTTTAAGTCTGACCGCCTAAAGCCTTTTTCCAGCCTGAACCTACTTCAGCCAACATTGTGTGATGAGGTAGACGGTAGTTAAGCAGACGTAACACATGTCCCACCCATCTCCGGCGACGAACGTTCACAACTGCATGAACAAACTTTTCTCTCCTCCCTCCCTAAAACTCTACGTCTTACTTGTGTTAATCCTACGGTGACACAACGACATAGGATCTAGGCTATGAAGATGACGGTGATCAAACACCTGAAGCATTTCCAACAAACTGCAGATATTCATCAACAGCTACCGCCTACGCTGGCTCGATACCGGAGAGTAGATCAGATGGCCAGAAAGAATAAGCAACAAGGAACTCTGGCCGGCAACTAACAAACCAAGAACCTATCACCCAATAAATATGCAGGAGTTAAGAGTGGAAATGGATTGGGCATGCACTAAGAACATCATTCAGAGACATCACGCGCCAGGCCAGGCCCTCGAGTGAAACCCGAAGGGGAAATGACGAGTTGGGTGTCCGAGGTGAGGGTGACATGGAGGAGATGGTGTGAGGAAGAAATGAGAGCTTCTGCGTAGTTGTGGAGCCAGGTTCAAAAGACTTCAGAGAAGAGAAGGAAATGAAGACGTGCTACTGAAGACTTATGTTCCACTAGGAACCTAAGGGACAAATAATGATGATAATAATAATACAAAACAATAGAAAACACATTTGAAATAAACATTAACTCACCGAAAAGACGTATATCTTCCATAGTTATATCAGGAAACTAAAATGTAACAATAAAATTCAGTTAGACGTGAATTGGGAGGAGAAGTCATGACTGGGGGCAGCCAGTATGAATACGATCAAGCGATAGTAGTAACGCGTCACAACTTCACATGACAGTCTGGCAAACACAATCCTTGGTGACTGAAGTAAGATTTTAAAAAATTTGACCAGCAGTTGGTACAGCAACAGATCGAGCATGTGGTGGTTGCCGGTTTCAATCCCACTGCAGTCTACATCTTCATCTCATCGTCAATCAATATCACCCAGTATTGACACTAATGTGCCAAATCATGGCTACTACCTCAGAGAGTCAAAATGATAACCAGTATGATGCTTCCCCACCCCTCTAATTCAATTACATTTCGATTGGGAATGGGGGGGGGCAGGCAATGTAAGTACGACTAAGTGGTAGTAGTAACATATCACAAATTCACATGACAGTTGGGCAAAATCTGGTTAGCAGTTGGACCTTGTAGTTCAATTGGTAGAGCATTAAGCCGGTAACCGTATAGTCGCTGGTTTGAATCCCACCACCATTCATATTTTCATTTCATATTTAACCACCATGTAGCATCGGCACTAGTCTGCTAAACCATAGGCTTTTATCTCAGATGGTCAAAATAATAATACAACAAGTGTATAAAAAGTATATTACATTATATTATCATATTATATTCAGTCCGAAAAACGGTCATTCGCGGCATAAATAGTTTAGTTGTAGTATCAGCACCGGTTGACGTCATTTTGAATCTTATGTGTTCAATGAAAAAGCCACCTTTTTGTAATTTCAAGATGATAATTTCATTCCTTGTAATTCTATGATCATTTATACTGTAGGATGTATTTATCTGATTGGATAAATTCGATGTCATACAACAAATCTGATTGGCTCATTTATGGCTTCATTTTCTAAGTTTTGTATATATATATATATATATATATATATATATATATACCATGTATTTGTCTAATAAAGTCATTGCTATTGTCGTTCTGCAGTCACAGGATGTATTCTTTCTTCCAATTTTCGCAGCTCAGTGAAGTATAGGGTGTGTGGGGGGGAGAACAGTTGTATTACTTGTATCCAGTTCAGCCAAATTCAAGGCATTTTTTCATGACTTTCAAAGCTGGTTTTAAGAACATAAGAAGATATGTTATTCTATCTGTTAATGATAAACTTATTCATCTGCAGCTGGATTACTGTATCTGATATCACTTTGATTTTTCGAAACACTTAGGACACACTTGGATGCCCGCTCGCAGATCCATCTAACTGATTATACTCCTAAAAATGTTTCTGGAGATGTGCTAAAACTGATTGGTGAGATTAATTGCCATATTCAATTTCATGAGTATTAATTCAATGACGTCTGTTACCTCACAAATCATCATGGTTTAGATGTACTTGGGTTGATATCTTGAATGTTCCATTGAATTCAATATATTCTGATACAACCTCACCCTCTCATAATGAGGCTTCATTTCGTATGCTGGATAAATCTCAATCAAAACACTCTCTTCAGAAGCATCCATCATTCTCTGTTGGAGACTATGTGTTAAAGGTAAAGGGGGAAGGGAGGACGAGGAAAATTTTTGAATGTTTTACTGGCTAACCCTACGAAAGTAAATCTTCAGCCGTGAGTCAGTTATCGTCTGTAGAAGACTAAAGTAGTTCCAAGTGGACCCTAAAAAGAAGTCGTACACTCTTTACGGAGGTAGGTGACACGTAGCGACGAAAAGGTAGCCAATAGACAAGCTGTTTTCACATCATAAATAATGCATGCACTGACATGATTACTTGATTCGATAAATTCGATGTTATACAATAAATCGAATTAGTTCATTTATGGCTTCATTTTCTGAGTTTTGTAAATACATACATATACCATCACTGGCAAGTGAAGCAGAACAGGCTGCTGTGAGAAGAGATCTGACAACATTGTATCAAATAACCAGGTTACAATCTAGAATGGAAGAGATCAACACAGATGAAACCAATAAAAGATGATAAAGGGAATCTAATTACCAAAGAAGAGAAACAAAGGATACGATGGGCTGACCACTTCAAAAAGCTGTTGAGTCGATCAACACCTGCACTTCGTCCAGAAATACCACCTGCAGCCCAGCCACAGAACTACTAGTGAACACAAGCATTTCGACGAAAGTCAAAGTCCTGAACGCCATAAAGCTACTGAAATGCGGGAAAGCAGCAGGACCAGATGGAATTCCATCAGAAGCACTGAAAACAGACGCAGAAACAACAGCGGACAGGCTCACACCACTACTGCAGAAGGTCTGGAAGGAAGAAAAAGTACCCGCCTATTGATTGGAAGAAGGGCTACCTTGTCAAACTCTCAAAGAAGGGCGACTGAAGTCTTTGCAAGAACTGGCGAGGAATCATGCTTGTGTCCACCCCAAGCAAAATATCATGCCACATCAACACGGAGAGACTAAAGGATGCGCTGGATTCAAAACTACGACCACAATAGGCTGGCTGGATTCAGAAAGTACAAATCATGTGTGGACCAAATTGCAACACTACGCTACTCATCATCATAGAATCGCAGTCAACTCTCTACCTCAACTTCATCGATTTTGAAGAGGCCTTCGATAGCGTCGACCGAGGAGTAATTTGGCAACTGTTTCAACACTATGAAATACCGCAAAACTTTATTAATGTCATTCAACAACTATAAGAAGACGCTACATGCCAAGTAATTCAGAGTAGAAAGCTGAGTGATGCCTTTAAAGTGAAGACAGGAAGGAGTAAGACAAGGCTGTCTACCATCACCCATGATATTTCTAACCTGAAACCAGTGTGGAGATCATCTGCACTTAGCATAAAGTGTGAACAAGATCCGGATTTTCAACATCAATGCCAGTCAAGTCAGTGCTTCTATATGGTTCAGAAACTTGGCGTGTCACAAAAAGCATTTCCAACAAACTGCAGACATTCATCAACAGCTGCTGCCTACACTGGCTCGATACTGAATATCAGATGGCCAGAATAATAAGAATAAGCAACAAGGAACTCTGGCTGGCTGGCTGACTGGCTGGCTGGCTGGCTGGCTGACTGGCTGGCTGGCTGGCTGGCTGGCTGGCTGGCTGGCTGGCTGGCTGGCTGGCTGGCTGGCTGGCTGGCTGGCTGGCTGGCTGGCTGGCTGGCTGGCTGGCTGGCTGGCTGGCTGGCTGGCTGGCAACGAACCAAAGAAGCAAGAACCTATCGCTCAACAAATATGCAGTGGAAGAAAGTGGAGATGGATTGAGCATACACTGAGAAGGCCGACTGAAGACATCACGCGCCAGGCCAGGTACTCGAGTGGAACCCAGATGGGAAACGACGAGTAGGGTGTCCCAGTTGAGGGTGACTTGAAGGAGATTGTGTGAGGAAGAAATGGAAGCTTGCGGGCTGTCGTGGAGCCGGGTTCAAAAGATTGCAGAGGACAGAGTGGAATGGAGACGTGCTACTGAAGCGCTATGTTCCACTAGGAACCCAAGGGACCTGCATTCACAGGTCGTATTTTGTTTTCTGATTTTCGCGGCTCAGTGAAGTATACGATGTGGGGGAGAACAGTCATATTACTCGTATCCAGTCCAAGGATCTCGTTGCCTTATTATCCCGTTCACGTATTATTAGATCCCACGTAGAACTCCAACCTGCAATCACATGAATATCTAAAGACACTAGATTTAAGATTCGATCAGCTGAAAAAACCTATGAACGTAACACAGCTTAAAGCAAAGAGTTATTAGATATCCTCAGTGAGAAAGGAACAGGTTTCTAGTTGTTTGCTATTCATGAAACTTTGAGATTGGCTTTTGAAGGTTTCGTTATCAGGTCAGAGGACTTCATCAGTATTTACTTCGTATCGTAGTGAAGCATCTTTAAAGTTGGATAAATGTTGTTAGCACGATTACCTTGTAGACAGCAGTGACCCATTCTTTTTTTCTATCATAGGTTCATCTTTATAAATGTTCTTTTCGTTTGACCAATGATGTTGACTAAATGATTGATTATTTATTTGCTTGAGTGATTGTTGATTGGCTGAAGTAGTTGGTATGTAGAGTCATTGTCTATGTATTTATTGATTCCTATTCGATTGGTGTAGTATGCTCCCAAGGACTCAATTGGAGTCAAGTAAACAACAGTAGCATCATTACCTCTGATCTACATACACTACCAAGCAAACCCGTTACTATACTCACAAATTTTCGACATCCTTCCTGAAACATTCCTCATGAAATACTCTCCATTCAATTTTCACAGAACTGAAACCAACAATACCCACGTCACACAAAGATTTCAAATGAACGCTAAGCAATTTAAGTGTCACTATAGATCAGTTGAATTATACTTCACATTGTTCTCCTCAATATCATGATAACGTATCGTGAGACGTTAGTAACCCCCACCCCATCTAGTATTGATACCCTTTCTCTATCATCATCGAAAACTCCGAAGACGCTTAGTTAATCCACATGTAAGTCATTTTCACTCTTCACCCTAGTCACAGACACCTAGAATGAGTCTTACTGCATCAACCACTTCAGATGGCGTTGACAAAATTCCCTCACTTTCGTCAACTAATCGATGCACGTCAACAACCAACTGTCTTTACAACAGACTGAATACTACATTAGGCTTCATCATCAACAATATTCCTGACATATTCAGATAAATGTTCACCTATCTCCTCCCTAAATACACAAACATCCACATGTCTATACCAACGCGTGATTGTATTAGAAACATGTCCTTCAGAAAGACAGGCAACTCTCAAATGATTCTATCTAACAGCACCTTATAACAACATGTGCTCACCGTCGACGGACGTCAAGTGAGATAGTGCTGGCTACAAACATGTGATGACTATCAAGACGAAATTGTTGTTGTCGGATTCGTCAACATGAGGCACCGTAGATACCTCCGAGATACCTTTCTGATTGGCTTAACTTCCTCAATTGAGTATTGAAGTCATATGCTATTATGGTTATATCTGAACGTTTTTCTCCTTGTAGCGAAATCAATAGCTTTTGGCAGAACTCATCATTTACATCATCCGAATTACAGTGAGTGAATGTTAAGCCAAGACTACAATTCTAACAGGAGTAATTTGTAAGGGAAATATATTGTGGATGTTCTCCTTTGAAGTGATGCTCTCAAAATAGGGTTACATTTGATGATATTGACAGTCAACTTAACTATAAGACTCCTATTTCATAGTTCAACGTAGTACACAATACATGAATCATATTAATTACTGACTAATCACTGATCATTCATTGTGAAGATACTATTCAACACTTGGCATCTAATCAATGCATTCCATTATGGATACTTACAATGTCGCAGCAATCAAGCGGCAGTATAAACTCTCAGCTATACACAAAAGTGTAGACTGTCTGGTTAGAGGTTGTTGAGAAGATAGGAATCGATGGTTAAGGACTCTTGGTACAAATGTGACGGAAAATTGGTCACAATGGTGTAGATGTAATTCACTCTATGATTTTTTTCTACAGTTTGAATATTTACATTACTGACATGAGTTGGAGGAAGATTGGGATCCTGGGAACATTAGACAGCTGTTTCATCCAACTAGTATGGGACTCTTCAACAGTTCCTACCCACGACCCCACTAGGGGTCGAACCCGCGACCTTCAGGTTCCATGGCCACCAAGCTACCATTGAGCTAGCCATTCAGTCGGGATCCTTCAGTGGTCCATATTTTCCAACTTCTATCAGTTCAGGAAATAGCGTTTATGAAGATTTAAAGATTTCTCAAGTTGGCATTCATCATAGACTGAGATCAGTTGCAGGAACATTCGGAGCACTGAATAGCTGTCTCGTTCTAGTATAGCGGTTGCTCTATGTCGTGAACTGACAGAAGTTGGAGATATGAACCATTGGATTTCGACCCAATGGTAACATGCTGGCCACGGAACCTGTAGGTGGCCGGGGTCGTGGGTACGCACTGCTGAAGAGTTCTATACTAGTTGCACGAAACAATTGTCCAGTTCTCCCAAGATTTCAATCTTCCTACAACTGATGTCAGTCAATAATGAATACCAACAATCACCTTATTTCTTACCTGCATTAATCTGGATGCAAGACGTTCAACTGCCCATTCAGAACGTTCTCGATAAATGGATAATAGTTTTAGATAACGTTGTGAATCAGATATCATATCGGGAAGACTACCACGTACAGGTAATTGACCTTCACCTTCCTGTCCAATAAAATCACGTAGAGCTCGAACTAAACGCCAAAATTTCATATTTGATATAGTTGAATGAATTGAATCACGACTAGATAACTGAAATATCAAATTCGATAATTAACGGGAGGAAAAAACCATATAAAACATTCTCATATTCTAACTTCTCTTTCTGACCTTATGGTCACTGCATCGTAGATAGTGGCTAGTCATGAAATAAAGTGTAATCATGATGTTGTATTTATCTTGGTAACTTGTAATGAACTCTTTGGTGTTTGAGTCAACGGGGAAATGAATCTCATTGGGGATAACATCACTTACCAGTGTACAGGTACATCCGGCTGACGAGTCCTAAGTAGGATGAAGCGCAAGTAAAGTTGATTTCCACTGAAAGTCATCAAAATGAATAGTCTTGTAAGCTTAACTTCCATTTTGTTCATATGACGATTCCAATAAATACATACATCCGGGTTTCCGGCCAGATGCTCTACCAACTGAGCTACCAAGTACAACTGCTGACTACGGGCAGCCAGTGTGAATACAACCAAGTGGTAGTAGTCACGCATCATGAATTCACACGGCAATCGGACAAAATCCTGAGTAATTAAAGTGAGATAAAAATCTAGTTATCAGTCGAACCTCATAGTTCAGTTGCTAGAGTATCGGGTCGATAACCTGGTGGTCGCTGGTTCGAATCCCGCCACATGATCGAATTTTTATTTCACCTTCGCTCATCACCTAATATCAATACTAGTCTGCGAAACTTTAGTTATCTCAGATAGTCCACCTTACAGTGGATATATTTCACACCTGTATATAGCAAGAAAATATGCTATGCTTCATAGTAGCCACGGTCACCAATAAATGTGCGATGTAGGCTAACGAAAGCCAACTAAACCTATTGTATCCTTATCATGGTTTTCTTGGACACTAACCCAGTAAAATCTATAACACTTCAGAGATAATTGTTAGGGTCAATATATTTAAACGGTTGACTCAAATGATGAAAGTCAACAACGTTTATAGATATTGACTAGTGAGCGACAAGTTTTTCATATAAGCTGCTATGTGGTCAAGATAACTCTAATAGATGGATTACTCTGTAGTAAATGAATGAGAACAACTCATTTCGTCTTTTCATACACATGAAAATGGATCTCATAGTTATAGGTTAGTCATTTTCTTCTGAAATTTTCGTACCTAAGAGCCTACTGAACACTTTGAGTAGAAATTTGAGAATGTTTAAGATGGGGTTCTCAACGATCCAAATGCAAATTTTTGCTCCAGGATTGGTTTTCAGGGCTGCCAGGGCTAATAATAGACAATGAAGTGGTTGAGTGTGTCGATCACTTACTTCACTTACCTGGGAAGTCAAATCAGCCCTGGTGGGTCAGTTGCCGAACAAGTCTCTGCACAGATACAAAAGGCCTGGTTAGCTTTCGCTAATTTACGCCACCTATGGTGCCACCGTGATATCCATTTGTCTGTTAAGAATCACATGTACCGCATGCCTGTGAAACATGGTCATTGAAGGTGGAAGACATGAGAAGGCTGGCTTCAAGTGTTTGACCACCGTTGCCATCGTAGTATAGGACGCCGTATTCCGTGGTGTCACCACACCATATGAGTAATGCACAAGTCAGGTATAGAGTTTTAACGAGGAAGTAGAGATAAATCAGTTGACGAGGTTATGAACCTTCATCAACTGAGATGGCTGGATGGAACACGTGTTACATATGCCCAGTCACTGATTGCCTCGTCACGTAGTGTTGGCCGAAGTAGGTCCAGGCTAGGAAAAGTCCCGAGGTGGCCAGACTAAAACATGGCACAAATGCATGAAGTCTCTGACTGTTGGTTTGAACCATGTAGGAGGGCGATGCAGACTAGATGGTTGAGGTTGGCAGGAAAAGAGGAACCAGTGGCTGGAGACTGACTTTAGGTGATATGGCTCAGATGTATCCCCACACACATCATCCTCATCTTAACGACGCTATACCGAATCTCAATATTTTCTCATTCTTCCTTTCTTTCTTCTCGTACTTTATATTTCTTTTGACTGAATTTTCTCATCTTCATCTTTCACCTCACTACCTTTCTACTTGATGTATTGATATGAGGTTTGGCAATGTGGACCGTTACTCAGTGATGCTTGGTCCTATGTTGATATTGATGATGTAGCTCAGTGAAGCAATAAAGTGTTAGACAAGGTAGTAATTATTTGTGCACAGTATGAATATTTTGGTTTGAGGCGATCAGTAGGAAGTCCCACAACGAAGTTGTAGATACACTTTGCCGACGAGTGGCAACATGCACAAAACTTAGAATCAGGGATTCCTACCAACTGCCTCAAACCAGTTGACATCTATCAAAACGCATAATGATCGTAGAGAAGATTACTTCTTCGTGAAAATAGGCAGATGGCATCTATATCTTTCACATACAACCCCGATACTACCACTTCAATACACTTCTCACTGTATACTCTAACACAACTGCGAGTACCATTGATAAAATGATATAATTGTCAATTCGACCTGAAGGCGAAATTCGACTTCGTCGATCGAGAAGTCTTATGGTAATGTCTCTTTGCTGAAAGGCGTATCGAATAAGTACATCACTCTGTTAAAGACTCTTTACTCGGACATCCTTGGGCGTATCGGAGCACATAGTAAGTTGTGTAAGTCGAGTGGTGTCAATCAACGATGCCCAATCTCTTCACTCCTATTCAATTTTATGGAGGTTTCCTCCTCGATATTCAACTACACAGGAACTAACCTAATCATAGGAGAATTTTCGATAGACCTTGAATATACAGATGACATAATCCTGTTAGACGAAGACGCTGACAAGGTACAGAGTCTTCTGGACACCTTAAGTTACAATTTGAGATGCGTTTCTCGCCACGCAAGCGCAAATTGTTGCTTCAGGACTGATCTTCAACGGTATTCCTGCTAACAAGAAAGAGTGAAGTGATTGATCACACTGAACATTTCACTCACTTGGAAAGTCGGAAAAGCTCTGATGTCTCAAGGGCCGACAAAATCTCTGTACGGATACAAAAGGCCGGGTTAGCTTTTGCCAACTTACGCCATCTGTGGTGCCGCCGCGATATCCAATTGTCTGTTAAGGGTCGAGTGTACTATGCTGTAATTCGCTTTAGTCTACTACATGGCTGTGAAACATGACGATTAAAGGTAAAAGACATGAGAAGGCTTCATATGTTTGACAACCGTTGCATTCATAGTATAGGTCTTGTTTCGTGGTGTCGCTGTATGAGTAACGCAGCAAGTCAGACGTAGAGTTTTAGGGAGGGAGGAGAGGGAACTCAGTTGATGCCGTTGTTGACCCCAGCCAACTGAGATGGTTGGGACATGTACTACGCATGCATGCCTAGCCAATGTCTGCCTCGCCTCACAATATTGGTTGGAAAAAGGCTCCGGGTGGTCAGACTAAAACATGACATCAATGTATGAAGTGGTTAACTGTTGCTTTGAGGCATGTGGGGAGATGGAGACTAGCCGGTTGGAGTCCGCGGAACAAGAGAAACCAGTGGTTAGAGTTTCCAAGTGATATGGCTGAGAATCGAGGTAATTGTGGGTCAGTTGGTAGGACAGCGGGCTAGAAACCCGGTGCCTGATGTTTTGAATCCGGCCGCGGTCCAAGTTTTCATTTCACCTTCAATTATCACCCGGTATAAAAAGGAATAAGTCAGTCGAAATAATTACGATATACATTACCAAATGTGTTCAATTTTTATCTACCTTGAAGTCAGATGTTGGGGACAGAGTAGGAGTACAAGACAATAAAGCCAGATTTGCTACGACATTCAATCCTAGAAATAATGGAGAATATTTGTAGCTCAGGTGGATGGTCTTGGTTGTATTGTGTTCTCTGAGCTGGGCTGTTTAGTCGTGAAGCTTTCATCGCCTTGCTAGATGACATCATCATCTAATGGACCTATCCTTCCTCGATTCTACAGCAGACCAAAACTACACAAACCCGATATACCTCTACGACCAATAGTCTCACTTCCGGGAACCCCAACATACAACATATCAAGAGAACTTTTGAGAAAATTGAAACACCTCGTTCAATCATGCGGACATTCCATCAAGTCACCAACAGAATTCTTACATAGAAAACGATGAATTAATGATATCCTTCGATGTTACAGTACTATACACATCCATCGAACCTCAATTGGCCAAGAAAACGATATCCCTCCTGATCAATGAAGATGAAAACCTTTGAGAACGCACAAAACTCAAATGTTCAAGTCTGATGGAACTCATCCACCTTTGTATGACAACATACTTCCAATTCAACGACAAGATATACAAACAGATGAAAGGAACTCCAATGGGATCACCGATATCCAGATTAATAGCAGAAACAGTGATGCAGAGACTGGAAGCCATCACCCCACCTGTGATTAAACCAAAATTCTGGATTCGCTATGTGCATGACACTTTTGTCATCATTAAGAAAGATGATATAGAAAACACTCACAGTTCGATCATCAGCGTTTTCAATTACATCAAATTTACAATGGAGAAAGAGTTAAACAACCAACTACCATTCCTGGATGTTCTAGTCAGTAGGAAACCCAAGTGTACAGGAAGCCAACACACACTGACTGACCGAATCCTCAACTACAATAGAAACAACCCAATGACACACAAGATCAGTTGCGTACAGACTCTATTCAAAAGAGCGAGAACACACTGCAGTACAACAACTTCACAGAGAAACGAAGAAAATTACTTGATGTCCATTCTAAAGAAGAACGGCTACCCACGACACTTTATCACAAGTTGCCTATCCCCTGCATCATCAACTATAAAGTCATCCACAGAAATCAATAAACACATCGTCCTACCATACATAAAGAATATATCAGAAATCATGACAAGATTACTGAGGCAAACCACTTGGAATTGATGTGGTTCATAAACCAACAAATTCCCTACAAACCCTACCCTATTATGCAGACCAAAGGATGCAATAACCAAAGAAGACAAACCGAATATCATTTACAAAATCAACTGGAATAACTGTAGTCAACACTACATTGGACAAAGTGGCCGCCCGCCTTCACCTTCGTCTACATGTGAACACCAATTGGCTATTAAACGTCACACACGACATTTCATCACTCATTTCAATGCACATGGATAACAAAAACTATGGACATGAATTCAATTTCGATAATGTAGAAATTTTGGAGGGAGAAAGGAAACACTAAGAGAATTCCTAGAAGCTTGGCATTCAGCTCAGTCAGTCAGCAATCAACAGATGTATAGGCATAGAGCACAATCTATCAACCGATAAGAAAAATGATAAAAGACAGAAAAGTCAGAGGTGAAGCAGAGGAACAGCCAACAGGAAAGTCTATACAGTCAATGACACAACAATCGAAGGAAAGAAACAATCACAGACCACATCGTCAAAGCAAGCCACTAAATCACTGAGGGAGAAATATTGACAGCTCACTTCACACTGAATTTAGTGCTGATGATGTTGCTGTCTAGAAAGACGATGAAAGCTTCACGATTAAACAAGCCAGTTCAAAGAACACAATACAACCAAAATATCCTAGAAATGTACAGACTGCCATTTAGTTATCCGCTAGGATCTCTATTAAGAGGTGGATCATTGGTTTAGGCAGTTGACTCTCAACCAGAAGGTCGCAGGTTCAAACACTGACCAACTTACAGAAGCTTAGGCAGCCAGATGGTAGCATCACTAGCTCCCTTATATATATATATATATATATATATATATATATATATATATATATATATATATATATATATATATATATATGATAAGTGTGGCTCACTGCCTACTGCATAAATGTCTGCACAGGATTGTTGAGTCGATTACAATTTTCTATCTCGCTGAGATCTATCAAATGGCAACAGTCTGAAATCATCTTATGACTACATTTTAGTCATAGATGCTTTTGTAATGTAATCAGGCACCAGACTAGGCATTTTAGCATCGCAATGCACTTTGATAGATGTTAGTTGAATGGAAACAATCGACAGGAAGCTCCGGACCTAAGTTTCGATTCCCTTCATCTAACAAAATACATCTCTATGCTGATCTAGTTGCCTAGTCTGATGCCTGGCTACATTGCGAAATGATCAACAGAATTTGGTAAGTACATAACATGAAATTGGTTATCCTCCAGTGACCAATTATTGTATGTAATCCAATCCTACAGAAGGTCAGTCGCTGACGGCAACACTGAGCGAGACATCAGTTCCGATGAGGTCACATATACCCCTTGCTGACGAATTCCCCAAGTCAAATCACTTCAATTACTGAATACAAAATAACAGATAATCTTTCATATATATGAAGTACAATACAAATGCAATAAAAATGTAATTTATATTATACATACGGTACTGAATGACTGAGAAATATCCGTATTCATCAAGCAAGCATCATCACATCGATCATCCTCGAGTAGTTTTTTCACCTTCAAAGGAATCTAAAATTTACAGATTTATTCCAATAGTTAACTGAAGATGATGACAATTATACAAAAGGATAAAAGCGTCTATACAAGGTCAAAGATTTTAAAACTCTATCTCTCTTTCTTTGAATACAGTTGAAACATTTCATAGAAACATGCAAAAGAAGAGATATGCAGAAGTAGACGATAACACCGATTTTTAGTTATATATAACTTAGAATCACACAATACTGATTACAAACAAATATCCTTAGGATACTAAACGACAGTTACAGAATGGTTTTACAAGCCTCCAATCAATTTTTACCACCAGTTGACGTGACGCATAGATGCAGATGGTGGATCTAAACGACCACTACGTGTAAAGCATTCAAAACTTCATTAAGTGACTTGCGTTTCGAGACTAGTACTCTTTGATTAAGAATAACACTCCTTATATGCTGGTTCATTCAGTCAACACAAATACAATATATGACATTACTGTCCAACAGTGCAAATCGCCACATCATCATCATCAATATCAACATAGGACCAAGCATCACTGAGTAACGGTCCACGTTGCCACACTTCATATCACTATATAAAGTAGAAAGGTAGTGAGGTGAAAGATGAAGATAGGAAAATTCAGTCAAAAGAAATATAAAGTACGAGAAGAAAGAAAGGAAGAATGAGAAAATGGTGAGATTCGGTATAGCGTCGTTAAGATGAGGATGATGTGTGTGGGGATACATCTGAGCCATATCACCTAAAGTCAGTCTCCAGCCACTGGTTCCTCTTGTCCCGCCGACCTCAACCATCTAGTCTGCATCGCCCCCCCTACATGGCTCAAACCAACAGTCAGAGACTTCATGCATTTGTGCCATGTTTTAGTCTGGCCACTTCGGGACTTTTCCTAGCCTGGACCTACTTCGGCCAACACTGCGTGACGAGGCAATCAGTGACTCGGCATATGTAACACGTGTTCCATCCAGCCATCTCAGTTGATGAAGGTTCATAACCTCGTCAACTGATTTATCTCTACTTCCTCGTTAAAACTCTATACCTGACTTGTGCATTACTCATATGGTGTGGTGACACCACGGAATACGGCGTCCTATACTACGATGGCAACGGTGGTCAAACACTTGAAGCCAGCCTTCTCATGTCTTCCACCTTCAATGACCATGTTTCACAGGCATGCGGTACATGTGATTCTTAACAGACAAATGGATATCACGGTGGCACCATAGGTGGCGTAAATTGGCAAAAGTCAGTTGAGCCTTTTGTATCTGTGCAGAGACTTGTTCGGCAACTGACCCACCAGGGCTGATCCTACTTCTCAGGTAAGTGAAGTGATCGACGCACTTCATATAAATACATCAAATGAGATTACACTAATGATGATAGATAACTTAATTAAGGAATAAAGTAATCAAGTCTGGTAGTTGAAAAAAAGCCAATCAAGAAAGAGTGAAACAAGAAAAGTTTTCAGCATCACGATTGATCGATACTAAACTACATTACCTACATTCTGCAATCATCGAGTTCGGTTGTCATACTGACGACAATAAGGAATTCCACATCTTACATAGCTCACACCACCAACAAACAGTTAAAAACTTCATGGACTGATACCATATTTTAGTCTAACCTATTTCAAATAACATTACGCTATCTGGCACACTCACTGACTAGGCATGTGTGGTATATGTTCCAACCATTTTAGTTAGTGGTGGTGGTCGATTACAGTCCACTCGATGCTTAATGGGTAATCAGATATATATATTACACCAGTGCTATAAATGGTGTAAATTGGCGAAGGTCATGTAAATCTTGCTGGTATTTCATTGGTCATTGTACCAGTAGGGTTGATCTGAATTCTACTGATGGAAGTGTGAACAGTGAAATTGTCAAACGTATATTGAAAAATAGAGTGGTATACGTTAATCTGGGTCACTTTTAGTGCCGTCAAGACGTTAGTCTAACCGTAAAACATCGGGTTTACAACACTTCAGTGCAAACAGTTCTCTTCTATACCTGTGAAACTTGGCCTCTCTAAACTGAAGATATGCGACGACTCTATGTGTTCGATCATCGTTATTACTGTAGGATTTCTCCATATCCGGTGACAATATCATGTAAGTAAGTAGTTATGAGGTACGACACCGTGTGTTTGGGTATGATAGAAATTTTCATTCAATAAATGAAGTCATATGCAAACAACGGTTTCCATGGCTTGAACATATGTTACGCATTTCATGCCAACGGCTTTCATACCTTTCACTGTCTTCTAACTCTGGGACTGAGTGGAGACAGAGGTCACTGTATGACGTGGCGGTGTAAGATGAAGGATAGTTGTATCAGTTTAGCATATGTTGGTGCATCACGACTCCCTAGGTGAGGTCCAAGAGATCATACAACTCAGTTGCTTGGTACGTTATCAAATATGGTTCGGCATCAAAACCAGTGGCGATCATGATGTGTTCTAACAAATAAAATTAGAGAATATTACAAGTGTGATTTATTTCAGCGTACGCTTTTCTTCAGGCCTTTCCTGATCTTCCCACACCTTACTAATTTCTACACGAATCTTTGGCCTAACTCAGCCTCTCCTCTTATGTTTTATTAACTCCTGCATCTTATCTATTCTCCTCTATTGTTACCCTTTATTCTTTTACGGGTTGCTAATACAAGACCATGCTATATTGTGTAGAACTTCGAAGATTGTCAGCAGAACTAATGGTGTACGTCAAAACTTTCTAATTAAAACACTTGTGAACAAACACATTAACTCATGTAAACATTTAGTAGGCGTTACTTTATCAAATGACGAACATCCTTCTTATCCATAGCTCTCTACATATCAGTCGTCAGAGACAAGACTAGAAGTACATAGGACGTACTGTAAGTCAGCGTAAACACCAATCAAACTTTGATTATATACACCAAGATATTTAAACTATTAACCAGACACTTAAGTTCAAGTAATCCTCATTTGTTAACAAACTTTATATTTCTACGATTAAAAATTCTCTGTAACAGTTCTACTGTTTTGCATTTAAGGGTCTATTGCTATCTATCCCCTTGTTAAACCTTCTAACAATAAGTTGTAGACATGTTAGGAGTGCAATCGTGCATGTTTTACCATTTCTAGAGGTATCAGGTTCAGTGAAATGACTACCAATCAAGTGGATCAAGGGTTCAAACCCTGCCCCACCTACTGAGGTTTCAAAACACAGCCAGTCTTCACATTTTATGATATTCACTTGTCCTTTAGGTTCCTAGTGGAACATAGGGATTCAGTAGCACGTCTCCATTGCACCTGTTCTCTGCAATCTTTTCAACTTGGCTCCACAACTGCCCACGAGCTCTCATCTCTTCCTCACACCGTCTCCTTCATGTCACTCTCGCCTCAGATGCCCAACTCGTCGTTTCCCATCTGACTTCCACTAGAGTACCTCACCTGGCATCTCATGTCCCCGAATCGTCTTCTCACTGCATGACCAATCCATCTACACTATCGACTACTGCATATTTGTTGAGTCATGGCTTCTTGGTTGGTTCGTTGCCGGCAAGCCAGAGTTCCTTCTTGCTTATCCTTATTATTCTCGTCATCTCTCTCTCTCTTTTTCTCTTTCTCTCTCTGATCTTCAGTATCGACCGAGCGTAGGCGACAGCTGTTGATGAATGTCTGTAGTGTGTAGGAAATGCTTTTCCTGACACGCCAAGTTTCTCAACCATATAGAAGCACTGACTTGACTGACATTGGTGTTGAAACTCCAGATCTTGTTCACGCTTTGTGAAAGAGACAACTTCCTTTAGGTTTCTCCAGCTGATGGTGATTGGAGCTTGTTGTTGTTGGTGGTCGCGTTCGTTGGGTATCATCATCACCTCCGTATTCTCTACGTTCACTTGAAGTCCCGTTTTCACTGCCCTGCCTCTTCTGTCAACTTGTTGGATTTCGCCCGTAGATCTTCGAGTTTGTGACATTAGACACAAGTCATCGGCGAAATCCAAATCTTCTAGGATTTTTCCCCCCGTTCAGCGTATCTCCCTCTTCTCGCTCCTCACCGCTGTTTGTTGCATGATCTAGTCTACCACAATCAGGAATAAGTCTGTTTTTATTTTTTATATTTTGTCTGTGCTTTGAAGTTTTTGTAGCGGTTGGATTGGTTTGACGGAGTAGGGTTGCTAGCCCTTTGCTCAACCTTCACTCTTTATCCGCGCTTAGGACCGACTAGTAACTAGTGAACTAGTTAACCAGGTGAGGTTGTCAGTCTTCATACAACAAAATAAAAAAGGAGCAACTTAATAAAATATTTTTTAGTAACCTAGAATTTAAATAACCTGCCTTTCTATCCAAGACTAACATTTTCAATTAGTTGATTTTAGTAAGTTATATTCTGCTTTAGTGATCAAAGTCGGGTAGAAAGTGATTCTATACTAGGGGTGATGATTGAAGGTAAAATAAAAATTTGAATCGCAATCAGATTCAAACCATCGACCAACGGGGGTTTCTGACCCGATCCTCTACCAACTAAACTACGAGTGACGTTGTTAACAAAACTAAGTGGACATAAAGAGAAGAATAGAGCAAAAAGCCTAGTCTGGAGACGGATTAATAAAAGTGTACTTTATGTTATCACGTATATACTTAGACGTGGATTCATGCTCCTGTCCACCATAAGCAAAATATTAAGACGAATCATCCTAACGAGACTAAAAACCGCTCTGCATTTAAAATTACGACCGGAACAGGCTGGATTCAGAAAGTACAAATCATGTGAGGACCAAATTGCAACGTTGCGCGTCATCAGAGAACAGAGTATACAACGGCAGTCAACTCTCTACCTCAACTTCATCGACTTTGAAAAGGCCTTCGACACCATCGACCGAGAAGTAATTTAGCAACTACCTCAATACTACGGAATACCACAAACCTTTATCAATCTCATTCAACAACTATATGAACACGCCACATACCAAACAATTCTCAGAGGGAAGCTCAGTGACGCTTTTGAGGTGAACACACGAGTAAAACAAGGCTGTCTACTATCACCGATGATCATCCTGATTGTGGTCGACTGGATGATGCAACAAACAGCTGTGAGGAGCGAGAAGAGGGGGATACACTGGACCGGGGGAAAAATCCTAGAAGATTCAGATTTCGCCGATGACTTCTGTCTGATGTCACACAAACTCGAAGACGAACAGTCGACAACTAACAAGATGGCGGAAAAAGCACACAAAACGGGACTTCAAGTGAATGTAGAGAAGACACAAATGATCAAGATACCCAACCAACCACGACGACAATGATTACAACAAGCACCAATCACCATGAATGGCAGAAAAAGTTCTCTCTCTCTCTCTCTCTCACCTACCTACCAACCTACCTAGACACCATCGTCTCGACTACAGGTGGCACAGATGAGAATGAACAAGATCTGGAGTTTCAACACCAATGTCAGTCAAGTCAGTGCTTCTATATGGTTGAGAAACTTGGCGTGTCACGGAAAGCATTTCCTACACACTACAGACATTCATCGACAGCTGTCGCCTACGCTCGGTCGATACTGAAGATCAGAGAGAGAAGAGAAAAAGAGAGAGAGAGATGACGAGAATAATAAGGATAAGCAAGAAGGAACTCTGGCTTGCCGGCAACAAACCGACCAAGAAGCCATGACTCAACAAATATACAGGAGTGGAGAGTGTAGATGGATTGGTCATGCAGTGAGAAGACGATTCGGGGACATGAGGTGCCATGTGAGGTACTCGAGTGGAAATCAGATGGGAAACGACGAGTTGGGTGTCTGAGGCGAGAGTGACATGGAGGAGATGGTGTGAGGAAGAAATGAGAGCTAGTGGGCAGTTGTAGAGCCAAGTTGAAAAGATTGCAGAGAACAGGATGCAATTGAGACGTGCTACTGAATCCCTATGTTCCACTAGGAACCCAAGGGACAAGTAATAATAATAATAATATAATATAGTTAGACAGACACGGTGGATCAGTCAATCAATTTTTCGCTTGTATCTCATATTTAAATTTAAAAAAAACAGAACTCAACTGACTGTTGTCGGTAAAACTGCTGTGTTGACTGAACGACAAGCCTCTTGAAAATTCTCTAGTACATGAGATGAATCTAGATTATTTTCACGTTTCTGTAATTCACTCCATAGTTCAGTTGCACCTACAAAAATACAATGATTTATAAAATTTTTTTTATAACCACCAGAAGAAGTATAAATAGAATCAGACTGGATGAGATGGCCTTTTTCAGTGCCTTTTAAATTATGATGAATAGAAACCGAGTAATATCACAGTGGGTAAAGTTTTATAAGAAAATAAACAATCTGAACATAACATCATAAAGAGTTTTTAATCACGGATTCCTATGGTTAAAATATCTTCAATATGGCTAGGATCACCTAGTATCATATCTTAATCTGGTCACCCTGAACCATCCCCCTAACTAACATGACACATCCAGGTAGGTAATTGCTCAACATATGTAGTAAACTTCCAATCTATCTCAGTCAATTAAAGTTTATAAAACTTTATAAATCGACTCGCTGACCTGCCTTGCCAAATAATCTTCACCTGATTTCCATAAATTTGAAGATATAATCAAGTTTCATTTAGTAGTATGGTAAATTTTAATCTCTAATGTTACTCACTCTCTCCTTCTCTCTCTCTCTCTCTCTCTCTCTCTCTCTCTCTCTCTCTCTCTCTCTCTCTTTCAAACACCAATCTACTGAGAATCTCAGCACGCTATGCTAATGGAAGTTGAATTAGGTTAGAAGATGGTTTACAATAGCCAGATTAAGACGTGGCACCAGTCTATTAAGTCTCCCACTATATGTGTAGACATAAACTGACTGACTAAGGTCTTTGGAATGAAAGGAATCAGTAGTTGAGGATACTTGGTTCAGAATGGCTGAAAATCAGTCGTAGTAATGCAGATATATTCACTCTCTGACATCTTCTGAAGCTTGAATATTTGTGCTAACCTTTATCTTCATGTTATGTTGTCTCTTTCATTTACCTTTGTCTACTTTGATATTACTCTTATATAATCCATCTGTTCTTTGTATGACTACCAAGGTGAAGTATGTGACAATTTGAACCTATGGACTTCTGAACAGGTTTCTACATAGATTTCGTCGGTCAATCAATTGAGAATTTTATTGCGTGTATACATACTGTAATATTTAGTATCATAATTATTTGTTTATCAGGTTCCTAGTGGAACATAGGGATTCAGTAGCACGTCTCCATTGCACCCTGTTCTCTGCAATCTTTTCAACTTGGCTCTACAACTGCCCACAAGCTCTCATCCCTTCCTCACACCATCTCCTCCATGTCACTCTCGCCTCAGACACCCAACTCGTCGTTTCCCATCTGACTTCCACTCGAGTACCTCACATGGCACCTCATGTCCCCGAATCGTCTTCTCACTGCATGACCAATCCATCTACACTCTCCACTCCTGTATATTTGTTGAGTCATGGCTTCTTGGTCGGTTTGTTGCCGGCAAGCCAGAGTTCCTTCTTGCTTATCCTTATTATTCTCGTCATCTCTCTCTCTCTTTTTCTCTTTCTCTCTCTGATCTTCAGTATCGACCGAGCGTAGGCGACAGCTGTCGATGAATGTCTGTAGTGTGTAGGAAATGCTTTCCGTGACACGCCAAGTTTCTCAACCATATAGAAGCACTGACTTGACTGACATTGGTGTTGAAACTCCAGATCTTGTTCATTCTCATCTGTGCCACCTGTAGTCGAGACGATGGTGTCTAGGTAGGTTGGTAGGTAGGTGAGAGAGAGAGAGAGAGAGAACTTTTTCTGCCATTCATGGTGATTGGTGCTTGTTGTAATCATTGTCGTCGTGGTTGGTTGGGTATCTTGATCATTTGTGTCTTCTCTACATTCACTTGAAGTCCCGTTTTGTGTGCCTTTTCCGCCATCTTGTTAGTTGTCGACTATTCGTCTTCGAGTTTGTGCGATATTATATATAAAGATATAACCTCTCCTTTTCCCAGGTACGATGATAGGTCTTCACCCATGTGTTGCTTAAGCTTCCTGGTATAACTATCTCCACACATAAGAAACAAAAAGATAACAGTTACTCGAGTATGAATAATAATGACAACACAAGTTGAAAGGAGTTCACAGCCTCCAGTATGTTATCCTGTAAGGAAGGTGCATTAGAAACTTTACATAGGATCCTCATTACTATTATTATTATTATTATTTTTCCTTAGGTTCTTAGTGAAACATAGGGCTTCAGTAGCAAGCCTCCATTATACTCTCCCGTCAGCAATCTTTTCAACCTGGCTCCACCACTGCTCACAAGCTAGCTGAAAGTTATTACTACATAAAAATACAGAAAATCCTACTGAAAAGAAAAAGAAAGTAAGTAAGTAAATGATTGGACAAAAAACTACAATAATTGAAAAATGTATTTACCTTTAGAGATCATATCTTTGACTACTGTTTTTTCTATATGGTTGTGTGGGAAATGACCATACTATAAAGTGAAATAAGAACTAAGAAATTATGTTTACATACTTTACTGACTTGATTCATCAATTAAAAGAATATATTATTATTATTATTATCATTATTATTATTATTACGCAATAGTGGAAATGTATCGTTTTAATCTGGTTAGAGGTTAAGAGGGGGTTAATCGATTGACTAAATTATAACGCCATACATTATATATACGGTGATATCGGCTATAACATTGAATGAATATAAAAATTACTTTCTAACAGAATGTACTTCAGACAGGCAGACGAAATGAAACAGAACCTCCTAATCTTTGATTATCCTAATCTTCAAGAAAGGGTAGAAATCCCATTGTAATATTATTTTTATTTATTTATTTCTCCTTTGGGTTCCTAGTGGAACATAGGGATTCAGTAGGACGCCTCCATACCACTCTTTTCTCTGCAGTCTTTTGAACCTGGTGCTATGAATGCCCAAAAGTTTTCATTTCTTCCTCACACCATCTCCTCTATGTCACTCTCGCCTCAGATGCCCAACTCGTCGTTTCCCATCTGACTTCCACTCGAGTACCTCACGTGGCACCTCATGTCCCCGAATCGTCTTCTCAGCGCTTGCCCAGTCCATCTCCACTATCGACTCCTGTATATTTGTTGAGCCATGGCTTCTTGGTTGGTTCGTTGCCGGCAAGCCAGAGTTCCTCATTGTTTATTCTTTCTGGCCATCTGATCTTCAGTATCGACCAAGCGTAGGCGACAGCTGTTGATGAATATCTGTAGTTTGTTAGAAATGCTTTTCGTAACGCGCCAAGTTTCTGAACCATATAGAAGCACTGACGTACTTGACATTGGTGTTGAAAATCCGGATCTTGTTATTTGTGCTGAGTGCAGTAGATCTCCACACTGATTTCAGATTAGTGAAAGCCTGTCTTGCTGCCTTTCCAACCCTGGTTTTGACATCCTCGTTTCTGCCGCCGCCTGCAGTTGAAACCATGCTTCCTAGGTAGATGAAAATGACAATTTCCTTCAGATTTCTCCTGCTGATGGTGATTGGTGCTTGTTGTTGTTGTTGGTGGTGGTGGTTGGGTATCTTGATCACCTGTGTCTTCTCTACATTCACTTGAAGTCCGGTTTTCGCTGCCTCGCCTTTTCTGTCAACTTGTTAGTTTTCGCCTATAGATCTTCGAGTTTGTTCGACATTAAACATAAATCATGGCGAAATCCAAATCTTCTAGGGTCTTTTCATTGGTCCAACGTATGCCCACCCCATGTAACAATGATTAGGGAATCTTATAGCCATTAGACGAGTAAACAGAGCTTGAGAAGAGAAAGTCTGAGGAAACTAAATAGGTTTCGGGCCAGTTTATAGGTGTATCGATCAGATATTCACCTACCATCAGGTACTATAACACAGTTAGCATTTAACTTTGTGAACAGATAGGTCATATGGTCTTACTCAAAAAGGGTGCCGAGTAATTAAAACACTCTGTCAAAGGATGTCTACTCTCTCCATTCGTATACACATATTCATGGAGGTTTCCTTCTCTTCGTCCCTATCTCTACAAAGATCATATAGTCAATCCTATAAGATGTAGATGCTGACAGGATGCAATCTTCTTCGAAAATGCTTAGAATGCGTTTTTCGTCAAGAAAATAGAAAAAATATATTGCTCCACGATTCCTTATCACTAGTGCTTTGCTTAACAAACGCAAATGAAGTAGTTAACTGCGTTAACCACGTCAATTACCTGGGATTTGAAATCAACCCTGCTGCCTTAGTGACCGACGAAATGTCTGCATGGATGCAAAGGGTTCACATGGCCTTCGCCAACTTACGCCAGTTATAGCAATGGCATGATATCCAATTACCTAATAACAGTCAACTTTATTGCTATGCAGTTCACTGAGTCACACCATGTGGATGTAAACTTTGAACATTAAACGCAAAAGACATGCAAAGGCTTCAGGAATTCGACTATTACCACTAATTTTGTAACACATGTCATGTGTTGAGGTGGTTGGGACATGTACCACATGTGCCTAGTTAGTGTGTATGTGCCGGATAGCGTAATGTTGTTTGAAATAGGTTAAAATTCGGAGAAGGTGAGACGCGGTTAGACTAAAACATGGTATCAGTCCATAAAGTCTTTAACTGTTTGTTGGTGGTGTGAGCTATGTAAGATGTGGAATTCCTTATTGTCGTCAGTATGACAACCGAACTCGATGATTGGAGAATGTAGGTAATGTAGCTTAGTATCGATCAATCGTGATGCTGAAAACTTTTCTTGTTTCACTCTTTCTTGATTGGCTTTTTTTAAACTACCAGACTTGATTACTTTATTCCTTAATTAAGTTATCTATCATCATTAGTGTGATCTCACTTGATGTATTTATATGAAGTGTGGCAACTTGGACTGTTGGACAGTAGTGTCAGATTCTGTTTATACCGCCTCTCTACCCGATAACAGGTCCCTACACTGTACACCAGCAAGAGGACAACAAGTAGGAAAAGTGATACTAAAATAAACAAAGATGTATGAGAGGAGAAGGAACAAATCACTTAAGGTTGTTGGAAATATGGCTCACTGGTACAAACCTCATCGCACCTCCTCAGGTTTGATCAGCCAAGTAGATCTCAAACAACCACTGTCGTTCCCTGCCTATTGCATGGACGTTTACGCCGTTAAAGTATGTACTACAAATTGTCTGATCACCTTTAGTCTTCTTACAACCTAATCTAACTTCTCCTAGCACTGCAAGTCGAGAGAGTTGGTGGATCGGCAAGTGCCATACATGTTCAAGCCACCACAGTCGCTGAAGGTTCACAGACAAATCGGTTGACTTGTTTGTCTTACCTAGTCCCTTTCACCTAACCTTGAGATTACCCACAAGGTGGTCTCACCATATTTCAGCAATATTACGAAGACTCCTGTGATCAAAATCTTCCAACCGCTTCATATCTTCTACTTTCCACGGCCATGTTTCACAGCTATACAACAGGACAGAATGAACTGCAGCACAGTATACTCGTCCTTAAACAGGTAGTAGGATATTTCATCGGCGGCAAAGATGATGCAATTCGGCGAGTGCCAAACGCGTTTACTCTATGAGAGCTGAGTTTTTCAACAACCAAACCATCCAAACTGTTGCAGCTCAGTTGAACCATACTTTACATTGTTCTCCTCAGCATGGTGATGTTACCACACACCTATTCTTTTCCCTGTTGGTCTCAACAAGCATCCTCCTCCTCCTGATCTTATTCTGCTGCTTTTTCTTGCCAGTATCATCAATAAGCATAAACAAGTATTCGCTGAGTACCATCGAATGCTGATACCCTTTCTTTATCATCAAACACTGCTCACGATTACAACCATTCCGAAGACGCTTAGTTAATCTACATGTAAGTCATTTTCACTCTTCACCCTAGTCACAGACACCCAGAATGAGTCTTACTGCATCAACCACTTCAGATGGCGTTGACAAAATTCCCTCACTTTTGTCAACTAATCGATGCACGTCAACAACCAACTGTCTTTACAACAGACTGAATACTACACTAGGCTTCATCATCAACAATATTCCTGACATATTCAGATAAATGTTCACCTATCTCCTCCCTAAATACACAAACATCCACATGTCTATACCAACGCGTGATTGTATTAGAAACACGTCCTCTAGAAAGGCAGGCAACTCTCAAATGATTCTATCTAACAGCACCTTATAACAACATGTGCTCACCGTCGACAGACGTCAAGTGAGATAGTGCTGGCTACAAACATGTGATGACTATCAAGACGAAATTGTTGTTGTCGGATTCGTCAACATGAGGCACCGTAGATACCTCCGAGATACCTTTCTGATTGACTTAACTTCCTCAATTGAGCATTGAAGTCATATGCTATTACGGTTATATCTGAACGTTTTACTCCTTGTAGCAAAATCAATAGCTCTTGGCAGAACTCATCATTTGCATCATGCGAAATGCAATTAGTGAATGGTGAGCGGTGATTACGAATAGGCGTCGGTGAGCTTCACAGTTTGCACTAATTCTTATAGTTTCTTTCAGTCAGAGAGTACATAGTCAATTATCGACTGCCATTCAGATGATAAATGCATTTTCTGCACTACCACATAACGTTATATCTACACCAGTGAGTTCGTAGGAGCTAGTCATTCAATCTATGAACATTCGTAAAGTAAGCTTCAGAGATTCATTATATTGTCTAGATGAGTTCAAGTGAATAACCACACTTAAGTCATGTTTGCATGTCTCAGAAACATATGCAATCCAAGATTTCAGGGTTTTACCAACTGACGTCTGTCCTCTGATTTGCCATAAGGCTAGGATATTTAAAGCTCTAGTGTGTAATTGAGAGCAGAGTTTAAGAAAACTAGGAATGTCTTTTGTTGGCTTGGATCGTTAACATGGTTACAGGATAAAAAGTTGCAGAAAGCATCGGGGTCTTAAAGTTGATATCGGGAATTGAAGGCAAAGAAACTGCTTTTTGTTTCACTATTACCTAATAGACCTTTGTAGTATAGTAGGAACTTAAAAAACAAGTTTTCCAACTAGGATAGTTTGTTGGATCATTGTAATATGAAAGCCCAACCAACACATCAAGGTAGCAACTATCGGTTGAGTGAATATACTGTAATCATACATTGATAATATGAATGCATAAAGTAGTACATGTTTGAATTCAGATTAATATGTCAAGTTTATGAATACTGATTCTGTATAAAGTCTCCAAGTCTCAAAAAAAACAGGTGGATAAAATAAGGGTAATATGAAAGTAGACAAAGTTGTATGAAAGAGAATAAACAATTTGAAAATAAAGGTTAGTGCAAATATTTATGCTTTAGATATCAAAAGGTGAATACATCTGCACCACTGCGACCAATTCTAAGTTACGTCACCAAGAGTTCTCAACCACTGACTCCTATCGTTTTGAGGACCCCAACTGGACAGTCTATATCTCTTCATATGGCTCAGACCAACAGTAAGAGAATTCATCAACTGGTGTCACTTCTTGGTCTGACCACCCTGAACCATCTTCCAACCTAGTGAAACTCCCCCCCCCTAGCATGGTACATCCAGGTAGGCGGTGGCTAGGTATGCGCAGTACATGTCCAAGCCATCTAAGTCGGTTTAGGTTCACAACCTCATCAGTCGGCTTGTCAGCCTGTCTTGTCTAGTGCTCTTCGCCTGACTTCAACATTGCTCACATAGTGCTTCCATCAAACGCAAGCAATGCTATGAAGACATCTGTGATCAAAACGTTATTATCGCTTCATGTTTTCTACTTTTGAAAGTCGTCCCACAGACGTGCAATAGGAGAGAGTAAACTGTAACTCAGTATACTCGTTCTTTGATAGGTAGTCGGATATATCGCTAGTCGGTGCCACAGAAGAGGCACACTGGCAAATGGCAAGCGGACCTTCTGTATCCCTGCTGCGATTTACTCAGCAACCAAACCATTCGGGCTAATGCAACTTCCAAGTAAGTGAAGCTGTCGAAGCATCCCATTACTTCACTCCTTTATCATCAAACAGAGAGTGCTTGCAGTAGTCCAGTCATGGAGCATCATCTAATATTTGACAGATTTCAGTGGTCAATCAATCAATATCAACATAGGACCAGGCACTACTGAGTAACGGTCCGAGTTGCCACATCTCATATCACTACATCAAGTAGAAAGGTAGTGAGGTGAAGGATGAAGATAAGAGAATGCAGGCAAAAGAAATGCAAAGCACGAGAAGAAAGAATAGAGGAGTGACAAAATGGTGAGATTCGGTATAGTGTAGTTAAGATGGGGATAATGTGTGTATGCATCTGCGCCACTGACATCGGTTCTCAGCCATATCACCTAGAGTCAGTCTCCAGCCGCTGGTTTCTCTTTCCCGCGGACTCCAACCACCTAGTCTGCATCGCACTACATGGCTTAAACCAACAGTCAGAGACTTCATGCATTAGTGCCATGTTTTAATCTGGCCACCTCGGACCTTTTTCCAGCCTGGACCTACTTCGGCCGACATTGTGTGACGAGGCGATCGGTGGTTGGGCATACATAGCACGTGTCCCAACCATCTCAGTCGATGAAGGTTCACAACCGTGTCAACTGACCTCTTCTCCCTAAAACTCTACACCTAACTTCTGCATTACTCACGTGGTGACACCACGGAATACGTCCTATGCTACGAAGGCAACGGTGGTCAAACACTTGAAGCCTTCTTATATCTTCCACTTTCAATGGCCATGTTTCACATCCATACAGTAGGACAGAGCGGACTGCAGTGCAGTACACGCGACCCTTAACAGTGGAAAGTATGCCAAACGTACTCAGAAAACCTTGGAATGGGTCTGCGTCTACACCTAGCAGGACAATATCGTCTGTATACTCCGAGTCAACCAGATGACCTTCTGGGAGTAGATAAATCCACGTGAAGTTAGCAGTACATAAGGGTACGTTCATTAATACATCTATAATAACGACCAGGATATGGTGTCAATCCACAAAGTGACTGCTAGTCTGAATTATACGTGTAGACTTACAAGACCCAACCTAAAAGGATGAAGCCACACAAGCAAATGATTTAACTGGAATGCCATAACATTATCATGTAGCAATCAATTATGTACAAAATCAGTTCGTTTTCCACTGTTACCTCTTATTTCACTGAAAATGTAAAACGAACCTGAACTAACTAAAGATCAGAATGATCTAGTTGCTGAATAACCATTTCGTCAGTTTGGGCTTAAGATCACTGGTGATGCAATCAAAGCTTAACCATAAAAAGCTGAAGTGCTATTTAAATCACCCTTATATGGATAGCGAAGTCTGTAGATTAATGTCAGTGGTTTATAACTATTCACATCTTTCATCAGTATTTTGTTAAGACATATTACAAATTACATTAAGGCTTGAAAAATCGTGAAGAAATTAAAAGACAATAAAACATCTAAATCAAAACTTACAAGGGAAATAAACTTCTGTACAAATACATAAACAATTATTAGCCAAGGTGTATGAATAAGTTGTTCAGATGTCATTACTTCTAATGGTTGTTCATTCACCATTCTGATGAAATCAGGTAGTGGTCGATCAAGTCTTAAATCTGGGCAAAAAGAATCTGGATGTGATTCTACAATTACATGCTCAGGAGTACAGATTCTTAAATAGCCAACAATACCAACACTGAAGCATACAATTAGGGTTATTGAAGTACCATGCAAGAGTTGACTGAGACGAATTAACAACCTATAGATAAAAAGGTAAAAATAATCCAGTCAAGTAGAATAAAAAGCCTAAATGAAACTCAGCATTCACAAAACGTACTGGTAAATAATGTCAAGAGAAGTCATAGACAACAACAGAAAGAAGGCAAAAGGAAATAAACAGAGTAAATATAGGTGGTGTCGTTGTTCTAGGACTGATCTTTGTTAATGCTTTGTCTAACAATAGAAAGTAAAATAGTTGAGCGTGTTGACAAACTCACCTAGCTGGGAAGTCGAATCACCGGCAGCGCGTCAATGACCAAAGAAGTCTTAGCATGGATGCAAAGGTTTCACTTGCTTTTCGTAAACACTCCATTTTTGACAACAGATGGCTTTGCTTTACATGCCAAAAACACGATTCAACCTAAGCTTTATAGTAAGTGGGTCACGAAAAGACTAAAATATAGCTAAAGGGCAAATAAAACAGATGGTGCTTCTGAAACTGGAAGAAGTAGTAGTTCCTGAAATCGTTACAGCTAAAGAGAAGTAAACTTATTACCGAATGACAGAATACAGAATCAATAACTAAGACAGATAACAGGAATAGCTCAAGATATTCCGTACGTTTAAAAAACCTTACGACTACTGTAGAAAGTAGCTTTACAACCTCAAAAACCAAGTTTTCACACTATATAACTGCGGGCAAAACACTGAAAAATCACCCAGTTAATAATACTATCAGTTCAGACTGATAGAGAGAAGAGTGTAATTTCATGTCTGTTCTTTTCTTTGTAATGGCTTTAAGGCTCGAATTCTACTTACACTCATGTTGGTTTCTTTTATATTGATTATTTACATGATCTACTTACAGTGACTGAGTCCTAGACAGCGTATGCCCAAGTGAGTGATGTCAGGTCATTTTGATATTGTTATATTGACCACAGAGTTCTTATCGCTACATGGGCAACAGCTTCTACAAATATAAAAATGTATTCGAAAGATTCGCTACTACCTAAACGTCATTTTGAACAAGTTACATTCTAGTGATCGAAAGAATGAGTCCAGATAGAAGTTCGGTAAATAACAAAGAAAATGTTAAGCGATTCCAAATTTGTCACAAAAATAGCGGCTTAATTAACCTTCACTGTTTGTGACTATAATACTACTTACTTTTCTCTGGCATCCGTAACAATAACAGCATCAAAAGAGAGGAAAATTTGAGGGTCCTTCTCAATCAAGTCATGAACATCCTGTTGTTAGACGAAAGAGTGAGTATTAATGCTAACTTCAATCAGGTAATTCCCATTCACTTCTTCATTTAATTCCATTAGGCTCTCTGTTACCGCTTGAGCTCTTCCCTATTAAGTGTTGTGTGATGAAACTCAATTTTAACTACCATCCCTAAATGGTTTTCTGAAAGAAAGAAACTGATACATAATACTTCAATATCGTAACTTACTTGCTCCCCAAGTCATCTTCTGTTACAGAAGAGTCATCTACGATTGTGAAACTCCCGATACCTTCATAACTGAATGAATTATGAAGATGAAATTACCTGGAAGCACGAGGTTTTTAAGAATTTCTGCCCCTAAAGCCCCTGCTCTTAACAGACACACTTTAGCGTGTTCAAGTGCGTACTGACCATGATCACCCCATAGTCTCAACTGTCTATCATACCGTCTGTCCTTATCACTAGTCTTCATCGTTGAGTTACGTCACGCCCAAAATCAGCGCCATACTTCGAGATAAATTCCAACATCCAACATCAATAATGCAAGTAGAGAAAACTTGCAGTTTTTGAGCTCTCTCTTCTATTTCTTGACGCTCCGTTCTTTTTGTTTGGTTGTACTCCTTCGATGGTCTCAGAAGTCTTTGCGTTTTCCTGCTTATAGCTTTGGAGATCCAGTCCAATATTGATAGTGCGATCGTAGAAAACTGGTAGTCTTTGATCTCTCGCGTCTAGTTCTTAGGGCTTGGTTCCAGTTGTTCGGTTTACTCCTGCAGTGGACGAGGAAATCCCCTCTGCTTTCTTGCTTTTAGCTTCGGTGAGGTGGATGTTTTGTGGGTTAGTAGGTTGTAATTTGTAGAGTGATTAGGGAGCTACGGGTTGCTGGAAAGTTTAGAGAACAACCGTGACTCCTGTCTGTGTAGGTACCTGAAAGAGAATAGTAAGGTAGTGGTAAAGGAATGAAGAGAGAAATAGGGAAGAGAAAAATAATATAATAATGTAGGGAAGAGAAAAGGGAAGGAGAAGAAAAGAAGGGGTGAAGAGAGAAATGAGAACGAAAGAAAAGTATTTGGGAATTGCCCGAATGGTCGCGTGGGTTTGGTTCCTACAGAAGAATTAGTAGGTAATGTGGGTGTATTAAGGAGAGAGATAGTGAGTGGTAGTTAGGAGGGAGTTGGGGGTACTGAGGTTGGTGACTACCTGAGTACGTCCGTGGTAGTCCATGCGAGGTGACATAACTGTCTAATCGCCTCTTGAAAGAGTCGATTGAAGGAGCTATAACGATGTGTCGCGGTAAGGCATTCCATAAAGCACATACTCTTAGGGAGAAAAATTTGGACCTGAGTGTGGTGTTGGCTCTCTGGTGTGCTATCTTAATGGGGTTTCCTCGTGAAGATCGTTCAGTTGCAGGCAAAATTGATTTGTTTGCATGGTCTGCCTGATGGGCGATCTTGTATGCCATAATGAGGTCACCCCTTTTCCTGCGATAACCCAAGGTAAATAGGTTGAGGTGTTTAAGTCTTTCAGGATACGTCTTTCCCCTTAGCCCCACAAACATTTTGTTGCAGTTCTTTGTATTCTTTCAAGGAGATTAGAGTCTCTCTTGAGTGTTGGAGGAGCCACCGTATTGAAGACCTCTAGGTGCGGCCGCACGTAGGATTTGAAAATGGTGAGGAAGAGTTCGGGAGTGAGGGCGCCAAGCTGTCTACGCAGAAAGTGTAGAATGGCGTTCGCTCTGGTTGTCATACCTTTGTAGTTGGAGCTGGTGTCCAAGGTGTCGGAGAAGTTGAGCCCCAAATCTTTCTCCATGGACACTCTGGTGATAGCACGGTTGCTCAACATGTACTGGAAGTCGGTCGTACTTGCCTCATTTTTACTGATGTGCATTACTTTGCACTTTTCCAGTTGAAGCTCAGGCCATTTTCCGACGACCAGAGCTCGAGTTGCTGCAAGTCCTTTTGTAGTGCTGCACAATCGGCTTCTTCGTTTACCACCCTCCAAATTTTTATGTCGTCAGCGAAGAGGAGGATGGGTGAGGATATTTTGTCTGGCAGATCGTTGACAAACAGGAGGAACAGAAGCGGTCCTAGGATTGCTCCTTGGGATACTCCTGACGTCGACGGTCTCCACTCCGACCTTATTCTGTTCACTTTAGTGCAGAACTGCCTCCCTTCCAGGTACTCCTTGAACCAAGAGAGTAGGGGTCCACTTATACCAGCTGACATGATCTTGTGAAGCAGTACTGTGGGTGGGACACTGTCAAATGCTTTGGCTAGGTCGAGAAATACAACATGTACAGGTTTTCTATTATCCCAGCTTTGTGTCCAGTCGTCCCAGGCGGTTAGTAAGTTGGTGGCACATGAGCGACCACTACGAAAGCCGTGCTGAGCAGTGTGGACAGTGTTTTCCTATTGAGGAATTCCCAGATGGTGTCAGCTACCAGGCTTTCCAACACTTTCGACACAATAGGGAGTAGGGCAATCGGCCTGTAGCTGCCAGGGCTTTTTCTGTCTCCTCCCTTGAAGATGGGTGACAAGATGGCACTCTTCCATTCTTTAGGGAGTTTGCACGAGTCTATTGAGTGCTCAAAGAGGTTGCGAAGTGGTTTGGTAAGCACCTCGGCGCAGTTTTTCAGAACCACTGGTTTCAGGTTATCGCAGCCAGGGGACTTGCCCGGACGTAGCCTAGATAGCTTCTCGAACACCTTTTTCTCTGTAATAGAGACGTGACAGAGGTATTCGTTATTTGCGACCTGGTCGGTGTCGTGGCGAGTCGGTGTGGATCTTGTGTCAGTGCTGAGTTGGGCTTGGAAGTGTGAGCTCAAAAGCTCGGCAATCTCTAGACTGCTTAGCACACTCCCGTCATGGCCTGTGACAAGATTCACTCCCTTACTGGTCGACTTTCTTCTTGACATGAAGCGGTACAGGTTTTTGGGGTTGCTTTGTAACCTCGCTGCCAAGTTTGTTTGGTAGGAAAATCTGTCGTTACGCACTCTAATGTTACAGAGATTGCGAATCCTTTTGTAGTTCAAGAAGTCAGACTCCCTGCGTGATGTGCGCCACTTGAACCAAGCCTGCTTCTTGCTCCGGATAAGCCTCTCTGTCCCACGCTTTAACCATGAGGTTCTCATTGATTGTCTGTGTGTTACTTCTGGTACACTGTGACTGATGGCCCCAGTGATTATTTTCTTCACCTCCAACCAGTGTTCATCTATTGTGAGATGAGTCCAGTCCACTGGCCATGATGCATTCATGAGGTAGTCCCTCATGGTCTCATAGTTGGCCTTGCTGTAGCAAGGGAAGGTGTTGGGCGTCTCCAGTTGCAGAGCCTCCCTAGTTATCATGGAGAAGGTGATTACAGCGTGGTCACTGAGGCCAAGGGGAGGTTGGATGCAAACATCCTCAATGAGAAGTTCATCGTTCGTCAGAACGTAGTCAAGGCGCGATGCGTTTCCGTTAGGTCCCCAGCGTGTAGCATCACCCACTTTCTCTGAGAGGCCAGCAGTCTTAATTGCATCCTTCAGCTTCTGATTGAAGGATCTGATGCGTCTCCCTTCCGTCTCGAAGAGGATGGACGGGGTGTTGAAGTCGCCGGCAATGACTACGGAATCGTAATTTGCAGAGGAAGTCGTTAAGATAGCCTTGATGATCATTTCCTTATGTGTAGGGGAGCAGGTGGGGGACCGATATATGACTCCGAGCAGGTATTTGGTACTGTGGAGAGTGAAGTAGCACCATAGGGACTCTGGGAGCTGGGTTAAGGCCGTATCGCTAACCATCCTTGCCTTTAAACAGAGTTTACGTAGATAGCCACTCCTCCTCCTGCTCTATGTTCCCTGTCCCTGCGGAAGAGTTCCATGCCAGTAACATGCATCTCTTCGTCGGAGATGTCTGGCGAGAGCCAGGATTCGGTGATGAATATGATGTCGGAGTGCTGATGTGCACGCAGCGTCCTCATTTCTGCTACCTTCCCTCTTAGCCCCCTAACGTTGCTGTACATACATATTAGAGTGTGCCTGGTGAGGGGGAGGTCTGGTTGTGTATTTTCGCAGGATGAGCGCTTATGTGGTTGGGTCTACCCTCGCCAGTCCTCATAGGACTGGCATTGTTCCGTTTTTTGGTGTTTTGTTATTAACTTGGGTGGGGGCTGTGGCAGTGGTGGCTTCTTTACTTGATGTATCTAACTCACTGGTCAGCGCCTGTGTGACGACCACTGACTCCAGAGGTCTTGGTGGTTGTCGTCTCTCCTCTTGCCTTGTGGGTCTAGGCTTACTTTCACATATACGTATTGAGCCACCCATGCGATCCTTCGCATTATACCATGCCTGTAGAACGTCTGTGAGGGAGGCATATGAGTCGAACTGGACGGCGAGTAGTCTGGGATTGGGTATGGTCTTCAGGTGCGCTGGCCTTGGCAGTCTACTGACGCTGTTGGCCGGTATACTGTTGAGACCAACTTTGGTTGAGAGCCATTGCCATTGTTGGACGTCGTGAAAGTACCGATCTTTGACCGAGCGGTCACTTGGCAATTCTGGAATCCCATGTACAACTATAGTGTTGTTTCTGTTGGGATTTCCAACCGCTGACTTTCTCTCCTCCTCTCTTATTGACCATGGCTTGTCAGGCCTGGCCCGAATTTTACAGGCATTAACAACGTCCGGTTGTCGCGAGAGGAGGAGTGTGTCTTCAGCCTCTTTGGTAGTATTTAGGGACACACGTAAAGGGGGTGGCTTATCTCGGGGTGCACGGCTTCCTCGAGAAAGGCGACATAAAGTTGCAGGGAGGGGAGGGAGTCCCAGCATCTGACAGTAGTCGGTCCACATTCGGCTGTCAAACCGTTCCCTCTCGACCAACAATGAGTCTGTCGATACATCGACGTTGAACAAAATGATCGAGTTGGTCCTCCTGTGACCTGGGTTCGTTGTGGGTGGCACGCCCGACTTCCCAATGGGTTTGAGTAATTCCACTGGTTGTTTCTCAGTCACGGTGTTGGGGTGTTTGGAATGGGTTTCGTAGAGGCTTTAGCGGTCGATGTCTTTGGCCATACGCTTGACGTCCCCTGGGGCCGGGTAGGAGGTATGGAGACTTGACCTAATATGGTCCCCACGCGAGGTGGCGTGCCCACAGCTGGAGCTCTAGGTCTGTTTCCAGGTCTCTCTGTGTTATCTTTGGTGTTAACCCTACTTTATTCGAGGGTGCTGGTAGCTTTTGCGTGGCGGAGAGCATCTCCTTCAGGCTTTCTGTGGGAGTGCGGGCATTTTCCTGCACTCTGGACAGATGTACCAGAACCACTTGCATGGTTGTCTCTTCATCAGCTTATAGTATTGTCGGGGGACTTTGGTGTCGCAGTGGCAATGCGCCCATCGTTGACATAGGTTGCATGCAAATGCCTCATCGACTACCGAAACAACTTTGGTGCAAACACTGCAGCCATCGGGTGTCGTAATACAGCCTTCCTTGCATGAATAAGGTGCTACGGATTGTGGCGAACTGCTGTGGCTGCCTTG